ATAAAAGTAATTTACATTCAACATTGAGACAATGTAATTATGATAAATACAAATTGAAATTTGAAGAAAATACATTTCTAAATGATGACTCATCATTAAGAACATATTGTTTTATAAAGTTAAATACATTTCCTACATATGAAAAAGTGAAAAAATATATACTGCAAGATACCGAAACATATATTTTAAAATTTTATAATGATATTAAATATTACTACGAAAAATCAGATGAAGTTAGTTATGGTGGCAAAACTGGAACAACAAGACCAATTGAAGAATTTAATAATAAAATGATATTTAAATTTATTGATGAGTATGATTTATCAAATAATAAAATTGAAAATGATTGCAAGGAAACATTTTTAAACTACATAAAACAAAGAAACCAAGAATTGAAAATCATAATTGATAAAATATGTGATTATATTAAGGATGAACAGAAGAACAATATAATAGGTAAATTAATGTATGGTGATGTGATAAATGATATTAAAAGTGTTTTAGGAAACTGGAGCATAGGTTTTTGCATTTATGATTTTGCTGATAGAAAATATCCATTTAAAAATAATAAACAGAACTTTAAACAAATACCAAAGATTACAAAGGAATATTTAAATACTAATGACTTTGATTAAAACCATACTATGATTATCACATGTAAAATATTATATGTTATAATTGTAATATATTTATCGTTTGTAAAGATTGAATTATTATAATTTGCTTATCTCTTTCAAAGTGCGTTGTTTAGACTTGGTATGCTTCTTCAATTTTTTCGTGCTTTGGCTGTTTGTTTTTGTTTTGTTTGATACTCTTGTGATATTTTTTGTTGGTTTGTTGCTTTGTTTTTTGTTGATGTGTGTTTTTGAGTTTGGGTTCTTTGATGATTTAGAGTGTTGCTGTTTTGTTGGTATGCTTGTTTGAATTATTTAATGTTGTATGCTGTGATTAAATATTTTTGTTGCTGGTTGTGATTATTTATTTTGTTTGCTTGTTGTTCTGGATTGTGTTTTCTGTTTGTTGTGTTGCTGATGGAGAAAAAATAGTAAAAGTAGAATTCCTTGAATTCTCCTTTTTACTATCTTTTTCCCCCCCTCCCTCCCCCCCCCCCTCCCTCTCCCCCGTCTTCCGCCTTCCGCTTCTTCCTGTAGGCCCTCGAGTCTTCCGGCTTCTTCCCAGAGTCTCCTGGTCTTCCGGTCTCTTCCGTAGTCTTCCGGCTTCTTCCCGTAGTCTTCCGTGGTCTTCCGGCTTCTTCCCGCAATCTTCCGTAATCTTTCGCGGCCCGTACCTTCCGCAGCTCCTGCTCTTCCCGTAGTCTTCCGTAGTCTTCCGTAGTCTTCCGGCTTCTTCCCGTAGTCTTCCGAAATCTTTCAAGCTTCTTCCCGTAAATTTCCGCCATCTTTCGGCTTCTTCCCGTAGTCTTCCGATACTGTTTCGGGACCAAAACCAAACAACGCGCGTGTCAGTGGTGTGGTAGTCTTCCCCCACCCCTCCGCCCCCCCCTGTGTCTGTCTATGTCTGTCTACGTATCTGCATCTGTCTTCGTGTCCGCGAAGACCCCCCTGCCCCTGCGTGTCTGTCTGTGTCTCTTTGTGTCTGTCTGGGTCTGTCTGCGTCTGTCTTCGTGTCCGCGAAGACCCCTTGCGTGTCTGTCTCTGTCTCTTTGTGTCTGTCTGTGTCTGTCTGTGTCTGTCTACGTATCTGCGTCTTTCTTCGTGTCCCCCCCCCGCGTGTTTGTGTCTGTCTGGCTCTGTCTGCGTCTGCCTGCGCATCTGCGTCTGTCTTCGTGTCCGCGAAGACCCTCCCCCCCCGCTGCGTGTCTGTCTGCGTGTCTTTGTGTCTGTCTGTGTCTGTCTACATATCGCGTGCTTTCTCTCGTCCCGGGCCGAAATTCTAAGGTGTGTGGGGGCGGCGGAACCAGGCCGCAGGCCATTAAATAGATGGGTTTCCCTGGTAGTTGATGGAACCAGGTAAACCAGCAATCGCCCTCTATTTTTCAACCAAATCAACCAACAAAAAAAGCTATGGATTTGAGTGCGCGAAGTCTCACTCAAGCCTCCATTGAGCCTCCAAATTGAACCCAGGCCGATAACTTCAGTCGATCACCGAACTGCTGTCATCCAGAATCCACCTGAATTCAAGACCTTCGTGCGTGCGCTCGTTGACCCTGAGGTGACCTCGTCATACTTTGTGCAAGCATGGCAAGAAGTTCCCCATACTCAGAAGGCTGCCGTATTTCCCACTCAAACAAATCCCAACAGTTCCCCATACTAAAAAGACTGCCGCATTTCCAGGTCAAACAAAAGGCCTAGACTACGATTGTCCCCAGGCCTCATAGGAGGTACAGGCGTCCATGCCCACGGAGAAGTAGTTGGTGAAGTACCCAACCTGGGTGTGGCTTCTTCTTTTTTCGCCTTGTGGAGGGAACCCATACCTTTGGGCTTGGAGGGAAACCACAAGGAAAACCACAACTTCTGGTGGTCTTTAGGTTGGTTTGGGAAACCAAAAGGATCACCGAAATCTGTTTTTGTTGCAAAGGACATGTTTCGCGGTCTTCGCCGAACCTTACCTGGCACTGGCTGGTTGCCTCAACTCTGGTACTTCACTTGCTGAGCAACCCAACAGGGTGCCCCTTGCTATGGCGTGCACTTGGCAGCCGAGAACGTCACAGGGTCCAGAAATCCCTTCCGGAGCCCTCGAAGCTTGGGATCTGGTGTCCACAAGAACCAGTTGGGGGGTTGGGGGGGTTGGGGGGACCTATAGCTTCAAGGGGCCGTTTTAGGTTTTCACAGCCTGTGCTTCCTTTTTGAGGCTGCTCTTTTTTGACGTCCTTCCCAGCAGCCATAATCATGGTTCTCTTAGACCCTTGTAGTTGATGACCATCCAGCCAGTTGCGACCATGGCACAGCTGGAGCGGTGCCTAATTTCCCATGATATCCACATACTTCAACCTTCATTCCGACATACCCACATTCTTCGGACGTCAGACGTGTTAAAAAACCACCAAACTCACTTGTCAAGGGCCCCAGAAGGTACCCCCCCCCCCCCGCCCAATCCGAGGCCTACTAACGCCCAATGGGGCCTAGGCCGTCCAGAAAGTCTACAAGACCCCTGGCCAGTCGTCGGGTGTGTATGTGTGCTTTCATATGCATGGTCCACCTCACATATCACCACCACCGTTTGCAGGTCAGAAACAAGGCGTCCAAAACATCCAACGGTCTGGAACTTGTCTTTTGGGTCTCGCTGTCTTTTGGGTGGAACAAGGCCTCAACCCTTGATGTTGGCTAAGGGAAACCAAAAGGAAACCAATCAGGTGAAAGCTTGTCCAAAGGAGGCCACTCATCTTGATGCCGAAATGTAGGTGCTCGTCAATCGGGAGTTCTGTATCCTCCTAAAATGGTGGGTATTCCTGTTGCTGTCTTTTTAAGCAAAGATGAAAAGGCTACCCTCAAAAAATACCCACCCATTTGTGGATTGAGTGTGGACTTAGATGGTCCCTTGTTTTTCTAACCTGGGTAGAACTCACTTACGGGACTTACACCCATGGTAAGTGGGCTACCCCAGGCTAGATGCATCAATATAACTTCCGGCATCAATTTCCCTTGGTCATGACTTAATTTAGTTTTATGGTACCCTACACCCCCATTCCAGCTATGTTTAGCCCTTCACACATTCACCCGTTGGTCTGTGACTTGGACAAATGGTTTGCCTTGCCCGAGTTACCGCGGAAAGTGGGAAGTTATCACCAAAGGCGAATATGTATTGACTCTTGAGTTACTTTTGACCCAGGATTCATCAACCCTGTAGATGGGCTCCTTCACTTTTGGCGGAAACTCCAGGGTGATTAATGCAAAGGGGGGGGGGCCTACTGGAAGAACGGAATCCCCACAACCAAAACAGACCCGCGCCCCTCAAAAAAGCAAGTGGAAAGTCGAAATTACCACTCAGGAGCACCCCTCTAACATTCACACAAGAGGGGGTGACCTACCACTGTGACCAGGAAGACAAATCCGGGTAAGGATGTACCCTCTACGACGGTGTTGTAACATGCGGCCCCCCCCCAAAAAAAAAATAGCCTACCAAGCACCGAGCAAAGAGAGGGAAAACCAATCGCATGTCAGGCTATTGACCACTTACCCACAATAGGAACCCGCAAATCCTGACTGAACCAAAAGGACCCCCCAAAAAAAACTGAAACCCCAAAACCACGCGGTTCAGCCGCTCCCTCGCTCGCCGATTCTTCGGCTCGCGCCGCGGGGCAAACTCCACGGTGCCGCGCTGGCGCAGGGAGGGCGGCAGCAGATGGCTGGGCCGCAAGGTGAGCTGCCACTGGTCCAGCAGCACCGTCTCGGAGCGCAGCGCCCGGTGCACGTAGCACCTGCGGGATTAGAAAAGCGGCTGGGGGATCACCCCAAAGATCATCACCAAAGACCCCAAACTGGGGCACCTCCCGAAAATGTTCAAAGAAGCCGGCGAAACGGGACACCGGAGCTCGACCGGGAAATCCCGAGGTTTTGCTGGGCAAGTGGGAGATCAAGCGTCCTGCAGCAATTCCCTTTCTCCTGGTTTCTAACACAGGCGGCAAAGCTGATGGGTATTTTGGATGATGCCATGCTATGGGTGTGGCTCGTTCTGGACCCGAAGGAACACTTGCTGAGGGGATGTTCGCAAACGAGACAAAAAACTGAACTGTCTCCTGGTACACTTTCCTAGGGAATCGAATCTATTGGTTTCCCAAAACAAATGGGGTCTCAAAATTTGGCATCGCAAAAGTTGGCTTCGGCGTTCCTTGATCGCGAATAGTTCTTGAAGTCGACCAGGGGTGCACTTGGATGCTGCTCCAGCAAACCAACAAGTTGCTTTTGACTTTGTTAATAAGGTATCTTGGATACCCATTCTGTTTACGTCGCATTACATCCTGCAAGTAGGGGGTTTGGTTCTGTTAAGTGCTCTTCAGTTTGGGTCGACCACAAGGGCTCCAAACGGATGCTGTTTGGCAATACCAACTTTAAACCTCGAACTGAAAAGCAGGTCCCTTCAGCGGCTAGGGCCGGCACCCTTTTGGGGGTGGTTTTGGAGAAACTCGCAGGTCTCAACCGCGGCCAAAAAAACACAAGCGTTGAGGTCATCCAACGATGTTTGACAGGAGTTCCGACCTTGGATGCCCCACAAAACAGAATCGATCGGTGGATTGATCCCGTGTCAAGCAATCGGAAGCCGCTTGATACCTAGTCGAAGTGATGGGCCCAAGTTGTTGCTGGTGTCCCCGTTGTTTTCAGGCGCCCGCGCGGCAGGGGACAACTCTTAAGTCCACCCCAAAGTTCAAAGGCTCCAAAATGCCGAAAGAGCACCGGGCAAAATGATGAATGTAGGGTGCTTCTCAAAATCGGGGTCCCCTAAACCGGTTGATGTCCCTTTGGTTTCCCTTCAACAACCAAAAGAGGGTCCTCCAATGTGAGAAACTCGAAACTCCCTGCTTCTCTAGAGGACATGGGCCTTTCTCGTCCTCAAACTAAGCATAGACGAACCTGCGATTTTTATGCGGCTCAGATCTCCAAACAACACATCCCGGCAAAACCAATCGAAGGACTTCACCCAGGGGCTCCTTGATCACAAAAAGGCATACAGCCAGGAAGCCCATCCCACCGCAGTCTCACCGGAAACCCACCCGAAAACCAAAACCCTGCGGCTGCCGGGGTCTTCCCTCTGTCCCTTTCCCATCCCAAAGGCCCACGATCCAAATGCGACGCCGGGCGCGGCAGCTGGAAGTTGTCCGACAGCACGGGGCCCCAGCCCAGGGACCTCGCCAGATCGTTACCCGTGCCCAGGGGGATGATGCCCACCGGTGGCATCATGATGCCCTGGAAGACCCGGTCCTCAATGCCAATGCCCCACAAAACCGGGTGTCTCCTTTTCGGGCTTCCCTTTTAAGCACCAAGAAGGGGGACGCCAAAACAACCTCCTTTTTTAGGGGGCCCCAAAAAAGTAGATTTCGGGCTTCCCTTCTAAGCACGAAGAAGGGGAACGCCCTCAAAAGAAGACGCTGCCAAACGGAGGGAAGGTGCTCCCCAAAGGGAAATGGCGGAAGACCACATAGGGCTCATACTGCAGACTGAGTATGCTTTCATTTAAAAGTGAAAAGGGTCAAGTCGATGCCCCGGAGGACACAGCCCTCAATGTCGATGGTACGACTTTGGGGGTGCAAGTTTCTCTTGGAAAATACACACGAGTATGGGGAAACTGAACAACTACCCAGACCCCAGTGGATTTCCATCGAGAAGGAGCAACTCCTTTTGGTATTCCGTCCTCGCGATTGAAACAACGCTTCAGTGACTTCTTTGGGTGTTTCGACCCATGTAGGAGACCCTACAACTAGAGTTCGGTTTTCCGCCTCAAAAATAAGACTCACACCCTTTGGGTCATTCCTATGACCACTCTATCACTTACCTCAAAGTAATACTTGAGGATCGCCTTTGTCCTCGATCCAAGTCAGATAGTTAGTCCCCCCCCCCAAAAGAAAGAAGAAGAAGAAGAACAAACCAAACTAACTATCCAAATAACTAACTAACTAACTAACTAACTAACTAACTAACTAACTAACTAACTAACTAACTAACTAATAAAAATATAAATACACAAATACATGAATAAATATACAAATAAATATATAAATGTAATAAAAACACAAAAGACATAAGCAATTACAGACAATCACAACCTAAATAAATAAATAAATAAATAAATAAATTCATCAACAGACACACACACACAGAAGAAAAACACTGGTACAGCAAAAACAAAGTGGGCGCCACAAACCTTCCCTGTGCGCCACGAAAACACGACAGCACATTCCCCACCCGTCCTTTCGCTCGTTGAGCTCCGACAAGATCCAGGTCACAGTGCCGTCCCCTCCGCACGCCAGGATCGCCACCTAAGACTTTTGGACTGGCTTGGGGTGGGTCAAGTGTAGGATTAGTTTGAGGTTGGTTCAGGGTAAGCTTAGGGTTTTAGGGTGGGTGTAGGGATGGCTGAAGATGGTTAGGAGTAGCTCAGGATGGGATAAGTGTTGGTGTAGGATCGGCTCAGGATCGTGCAGGATTGGTTTAGGGTTGGTTTAGGCGAAGTTTAGGGTACGTTTAGGTGTTGTTAGGGTTGGTGCAGGATCGGCTTGACGTTGGTCTAGAGTAAGTTTAGAGTTTAGGGTTTGTTTAGGGCGGGTGTAGGGTTGGTTTAGTATGGGTAGGGTAATTTTATGGTTGGTTTAAGGTTGGAAACCTAGAAAGATGCCTCGGTGCCTTTTGTCTTCCTGGTGGGCACATGTTGCCAACCAACCCATAATGAGTCAGTTAGTTGCAGTTCTCGAAAAGGGCCCCTTTTGTAAGAAAAACCAACGGCATTTGCCCTGGGTCAAGTAGTCAATTTCTTTCTCACACTTACAGGGATGTGTGCAGCCTTGAGTGGCTTGCGACCATTGAGACTTGCTATGGCCAAGATGTGATTGTCAAAGTCAGGCTCTGGGTGGCCGCAAAACTGCAGATCATCTGGGCAATTTGCAGTTCCATCGTCCATTCCCCCCCCCCCCCCCCCGCGGCCCCCAATGCCCCGCCGCCCCCCAATGCCCCGCCGCCCCCCAATGCCCCGCCGCCCCAGCCTCTTCATTGCGGCGCAGGATCTCTGCGGCCTGCAGGCACACAATCTCAAGTTTTCAACAGGAATCTCCAGGCTTGCACCAATTTCCGATTTCCCATGGGTATGGCCAAATCTCGCTCTCTCTCTCTCTCTCTCCCTCTCGCTCTCTCTCCCTCACTTAAAAAGAACTCAAAGCCCCCCCCCCACTCCCTTCCCCCAAACCCCCTACGCCAAACTCAACTCCCCAACCCCCCACCCCCTCCACCCCTCCACCCCCCTCCAACCCCCCAACTCCACCCCCCCCCACCCCCTCCCCCTCCGCCCCCACCCCCCCGTCCAAGCCCCACCCTTCTACCCCTCAAGCCCCAAGCCACCCACCTCCCCCCAAAGCGGCCGCCTGGTTCAGGCCGCTGTCCAGGTCCCGCGGCAGCTTGCAGACACGCCCCGAGGCCCCCAGCAGCACGCGGAAGAGCTCCTCGAAGCGCTTCCCGCTCTGGTCGCCGCTCCCTGGACACAACCGGCCAACCGAAGCCAAGCGGAAAAACCGGAGGCTTCGGGGGTGTTGGTTTTTTTTGGGGGGGGAAGGGAAACGCGGGACAAACTGAAACAAAAAACAAAAACAAAAAACACGGAAAAAAACCGGAGAAAAAAACGGGGAAACAAAAGGCGGCCGGGTGTCAGCCCCAAAACAAAAAGGTGACCAACTATTTTGGGAAAGCCTCGGTTTGTCAGAACCCTCAAACAGTTTCGGTTTCTTTGGTTCCAGGTCCATCAAAAGAAGACACCCAAATCCAGAAACGAGAGGGGACCTGCATGGATCTAGTCTGTTGGGGTGGCATTTCCCAAAGCTGCAATGGACTCACGTGCAATGGTTCCTGGAGGCCGCTTAGAACATTGTGAAGTGGTTTCGACAGCGCTTCACAATGAAACTCTATGTATAAACTTGTAACATATGTATATATATATATATATGGTTAATCACCATAAAAGGTATTCTGGGTTCAAGATTCTACCATTAATCTTGGAGCTATGATCATCCTCTCTCGCATAAACAAGTTGTGGGTCGTTGAGACGGTTTGCATGAAGGCGACAGGTGGCCATTCAGTGTGGGTCATGCAGCTTGGGTGAGCCGTTCAATGGGTTCTAACAAATGGGTGCAGAGTTTTGATAGGGGACCCTTTCAAAGAAATTGGGAGTTCGGTGGGGATTCATGTCCACACCACTTGTGAGGCGATTCCAACTCATTCCAAAACGGATGTGGAAACACATGATGGTCCTTTGGTAGCGATCGGACCCCGTTTGATAGAATCCGTTGAACGGGTACCCGCTCAACCTGAGGTCGCCCATTGCTGGGCCTAGGTTGACAAAGGCAATCACGAAGCGGCCGGCCGTGTCCTCAGCACAAGTGTTCCTCGCCCAGCACTTCGAGTGGATTTCACCTTTTGAACCACCAAAGGCCATGTGGGAAGCCCTGCGTTGTGGCACCTTGCCTCACAAACTGGGTGCCAAAATGGATGCAGGACTCAGAAGCAAGCAGGGACCCAACACATGAAACACACTGGAAAACCAAAAAAGAACCGCCGGAAAAGAAGACTCAGGAGCCTAGCTGGGCTGACACGACAAAGATTTCAGATGCTGGGGAAAACCCAAAAAAAGCTCCGGCAGATATATATAAAAAACTACAACAAACAGAAATCCAGGGGTTTAAATCCCCAAACCACCAAATCCATTCACCAACTAGGGGTTACCTGATACGACAAAAAGCACAGAAAAGGCATGATCATATATATATATATATACATATATATATATACATGGCTGTGATTCAAAATTAGTATCCCCAAAAGGGAACCCCGCTGAATGGACGCCAAGGACTAAAACCTGCATCCGATTCCTGGTTTAATTTTGACCCATACCCACAGATAGTTCAACACAATACCTAGTCAAAAACCAAAAAAGTCCTGGTCTGGTGATTCTGTTTTGACCCATACCCATAGATAGTACAGCTAGGTCCTCCAGTAGCGAGCATAGAATAAGGGTACCCTTTTTTTCTGCAGTCTATTTTAGTAGGGGAACCCAAAACCACAAAGAAGTGGGTAAAAGGGCACCACTAGGGGATCTAGACAAAATATACCTAGTCCAAAAAAAAACAGAAAAAAGAAGAAGAAAAAAAAACACGGTTCCTGGTGATTTCGTTTTGACCCATACCCCTGGATAACTTATAAATACTCCTAGCCAAAAAAATGCCCCCAAAAAAAGGAACCGACGAGACAGCTTCGCTGCTGCCGCGCCGCCATGGCCTGCCGGAGCTCAGCATAGTCGGTGTACGAGATCTTCTGCCCTTGGGACTTCGGGATTCGCCGGCCGGCCGGCGGTCGATTTTGTCCGCTTCGGGCCAAGGCGGCGGTGTTCGTGTTTTTTGCCCATGAAATCAATAGGTGTTCGTGTTTTTTGCCCATGAAATCAAGAGGTTTGAAAAGGAGGGCTTGGGGTAGCGTGAAACCAAAAAAAACGTGGTCCCGTACGCGTGTTTCCTTGCTGCCAAGCGCGTATGAGATAGGGAGCATGACCATTCCCCCACGTTTCAGACTGCAAACAACCCTGTGCTTACAAACAGAGCAAGCGTGCCTAATTTTTTGGGAAGTTCGGCAAGCGCGCCTCGAATCTCACCGGGAAAGCTGATGTCGGTGCTGCCAGGCACATCACTCGCAGGAGTCGCGATCGCAGATTTGCCTAGGCTGACGCTGACTGGGACGGCTGGTTCGCGCGCTCGAGCTGAAGTCGTCCAAACAATTGCCAAGAACGGCAGACCGAACTTGCTGGTGCTCAGTAGGGAATGCCCTTCCGGGTGTTGGGAATGAACCTGGGGATTCCCTTAAAGGAAGCCAACTCGGGGATGGTTGTTCTCGGGGTCATTCCAACTCATTCCCTGCCTATTGAACCAGCAAGTTGTGTCAAAATGAAATGCAGGCAACGGGCCGCAGGTTCGGCAATTGAAGAACCTCAGGCCAATCTGCACGAACGCAGTTGTGTCACCTGTGGACGATGCGCACGCCCATCTCCTTTGTTTCTAGCGCGCACACATGCTATATACATCATATATATATATATATGTATATAGACAATGTAGACACACACACACACACCACACACCACACACCACACACCACACACCACACACCACACCCCACACACCACACACCACACACCACACACCACACACCACACACCACACACCACACACCACACAACACACAACACACAACACACAACACACACCACACAACACACAACACAGAACACAGAACACAGAACACAGAACACAGAACACACAACACACAACACACACAGCACAACACACAACACGCAACACACAAAACACAAAACACAACACACACACACACACAGAGAGACACACCTACACGTACTCATCGCGGTTGTTTCATGCTTGTGCTAGAAGCTTGAATGGGAGCATGGCTCCTTGCAACCCGCAGCCATGTTGCACCGAGGCTCGTTGACAGAGCTAGCAGCCTTGGACAAGCGGCGCAAAATACGCAGGCCGTGGCATTGCAGCGACTGCTTTCCACTCTTCCCTTTGGCAGTTCTTTGACTTCCCCAAATAGATACGAATGAAGATGTATGGCCTTTGTCTTAAACAAAGACAAAGTCTTAACCCAGCTTCAAGGCAAACCAGCTAGGCAGCTCGCGCTAATCGATTTCGCCAGGCAGCATGATCAGCGTTACCGTAGTGACTATACCACCCGCCTGATCGAAGCAGTGTGCTAGGATCCACCGAAACAATACAATCTGCAGAGCCTAGGCCCACATGCGTCGAAGTCTGTATTGAAAGGCGGATTGCCTGGTGATGTTGAAGACACCCAAGGGGGAAGTGTAAAAAATCCTGCAAGTGCTCACATCGCAGGCCTGGATGGTGGATGGTGACGAGCAACAAGCGAGCATTTCCTTAGGCGACTCAAGGCTTGGATGGCTCGGCGAGAAACCGACCGACTCTGCCAAGCTTCTCCGTGCCGGTCAGGGCAGCAGAAGTGTCCTGTGTCGCATTCGTAGTCGATAAGGATACCCTTTCTTGTTGCCTTAAAAGAAAAAAACAACTTTGGAAGCCTGTTCCCGTTCCCGTCTTTGACAACCCATGCTCATACTTCCACAAACTCTGGGTATGTGTCAAAACAGGGACCTCCAAAAACATGGGAGGGCGTTCCTTTGCGCTACACACCAACCTGGAAAAGGTACCCTCAAAAAACACGTCACGGCGTTTGCTTGCTTCACTGGCCTGAGCTGGTCAGGCAGGCCAAGTGGTGAGTGCACTCGCTGGAGCGGTCGGGCTTGCGATAGCAGTACTGGTCACCTCCCGGCTGGCCACCCCGAAACACACACACACACACACCACACAAGCTTGGCAAGACTAAAGCAGACCACGTGTGGAGGTGTGTTGGAAGGGAGGTTTCCGAACGAAGCACAATCGGCCTGGGAGGTGGATGGGGTTGGGCTGGGTGAGGGGTTGTGGCTAAAAAGGGGGCCCTTCTTGGATGTGGACCCTCTATACATTAATTGTAGAGTGAGGCTTGGCGCATATTGAAACGACGCACATCCCCAGCACACGGCCAGGCGCGGGGACAACGCTCGGAAATGAAAAAGCTCAAGATGCGCTGAGTGGATGAGTTTATCATCTACTGGGTGCGGCTGTGATGTCTCTCTGAGTCAAAGTTCTGATTGAAACCAGGAAAACAACCAGCCGCACACCATTGGCCTGTGTGTGTGTGTGGTGTCAAAATTGGGAAAAACTGGCCTCTTCTCCTTCTGGTGTCCCTTTGTTTCCCAACCGCGCCGAGCCATTTGAAAGAAACACAACCTCCATTTGTGTCACCCACTTGTCGCCCTCAAAAAACCAACACCCGAACAAAACAACAACAACAAAAAGCGCCCGCGCTTGGGCCTTGACCATCGCCAGTCAGAGTCGCAGGCGTGCTGGAAGAGGAAAGCGCCCTGCGCGATGTCCCAAATGAGCGGTCAACGGACATGACCCTGAAAGGACTTGGGATCATTCGCGAGAAGTCTGGGAGAAGTTGCGCGATCATGTCCCGAACCCCACATGGACAGATGGGACAAAATTTGACCGAACCTCATTTGGGCATGTCAAACTCTCCGGGGGCTACAAATTGTGGAGTCCCTTTCTCCGAGAGCGCGCGGTAGCCCAAGCTCTGAGCAGCCGCGAAGAAGTGGACAGGACAACGACCGGAAGGAGGCAGGAAAGCTGCCAGACGAGCACAAGAAGAATACCAAAATTTAAAAGAAGACAAAGACTTCCGGTGAACGGAGAGTTCAAACGTCGGAAGACTCCGGCCAGATTTCCGAGAAAACGACAACGTGACAACGTGACGTTTCGCCGGAAAGACTGGCCGCAGGACGTTTCGCCGGAAGACTACGAGACAATTCCGGCATCGCCAAACTCCGGGAAGACAAAGTTTCATGCGCAGGGAAGAACCCCGCCCCCCCTTCCCCCCTGCGCGCGCACGTTTTTTCGGCTTCTCGGTCTCCCTGTCGTTCTTGAGACTGTTGTTCTCTTCCGACTGCCTTCCCGTAGGCCCTCTTTAGTCTCGCTTTAGTCCTTCTTGCTGTCATAGCTATCATTTGTTTCGTCTTTCCTGCTCTTCCAATAGCGTGTAGCCCTTCTGGCTCGAGAGGGTGAAAAGTCCAATTTCCGGTAGTGTTACACTTCAGATAGGCACTGTTGCCCAATCTTGGCGTGGTTACACACACCCTTCCTTTGGGTTGCGATTTGAACCTGAAAAGGGTAAAAGCACAACCCCTTGTTCCCCTTCAAAAATGCTGTTGCAGGTCATTCAGTCTCCTGACATCGAGCAACCCAAACCCTGTATTCCAATCTGGTATGCAACAATTCCATATGCGGTCACCCACACGTGCTTTGCAGTCAACGGCGGTCCTGAGCAGTTGACAGCTAAAGTTGCTCTTGTGCGAATTCGGGATGTAGCGCCTCAGATACGCCGTCAAACGACCTCCCTGGTCCAGACCTTCGCCGGGTTCGAAGGTGACACAAGCAGACAAGTTTTTTGGGTGTGGCTCTGCACTTAAAGTACTCGAGCATTGCAGGCTTTCGTCTTTGGCTCCATTTACCAAGGTGCCATTTTGGTACCTATGTCTGAGCCGCCATATTTTCCCAGGACATGGACAAACTGAGGGAGCAACGGCTGCCCCCTTCTCGTCCGAAACAAGAAATAGACTGCCAATGACGAATCAGCTCACAAGTGTACCATGGTCAAGAATCCCTGTGTGGCACATGGTCGTGGCCTTGCGAGGAACACTCATAATGATTCTGTGATTTCCCTAAAGATGCATGAACCGGCAAAAAAAACGCTGGGCGCACACCCCTTTTGCAAGACAACCTTTTCTTTTGTTAAGGGGGTTCGAGCACAAAGCCATTTTGGGTGTCACCCCAGTCAATGTGTGCAAACATATTGCCAATCCCCAGCGGATCCCAAGCAAGCCACTAGGTAACCAGCCACTGTCCATTGTTTTTTGTTCCTTCTTTTTAAATTGGTTCTCTTGATTTCCTACAAAACCAGGGAAGTGGAATCACCACCCCACTGAATTCCGCCTCATTTCCGCCAAGCCGCCCCTGGAAGGCACGACACTCAGGGGTGACCTTGCAAGCGAAGACGCAGTCCGACACGTTGGACAGAACCTCCTGGGTGAGGATCTCCTGCCAAAAACATGGGCCGCGCGTCAAGAAATGGTACTTGGTTGACGTTGCAAGGGGAGCAACAAAATTGAATTTTAGCAGTTAAGTGGATTGGGATTTCCACCACTAAACCACAATAAGCAAAAATGTAAAATGTTTCCCAACAACAACCATGGGTAGGGCCTTGAGCGTGTCTTTCAAGTACGCAGGTTTTGGTCGTGTCCAAGGAGCCAAAAAGTGGTACCAGGTTTGTGAGCCATTGTGGCTGGAAAACTGGACAACAAGATTATCAACAGGGGTGCGAAACCCGCAGCCCACAGTGCTGCTGTACACTTCGTGTTCATCTTGCCACCACCTTTGGTTTTCGGTTCCTGGCCGCAACATTGGGTGTGGCTCAAAATTGAAGAGCTGGGGTTACGCAGGTTTTGGTCTGTGTGTCCATCCAAAGGGGCCAAAACGTGGCACCAGTTTTTTGAGCCACAGCCAGTCGCGTCCACGCCCCCCCAGCATCCGACGCTGTTCGCCGCGCCTCGAAGTCGCAGTCGTGGGGGCTGTCGCAGACGCAGCTGCCCCGGGAAGAATTGAAGTAATAAAGGTCCTGCCGCTGTGGTTGGGCGTCTCAAAATTTGGCGGCGGGTCAAAAATTGGTACCCTGGGACCCAACCTGGAACCCTGGTAAATGGGACCAAGGACTCCACCCTGCGGTCCCCTGGTGTTTGATTTTTGAGCCATACCCATTTGGGGAACCAAGCTAAATTGTTGGTTTCGTGGTGTCTCAAAATTTGGGGAACCAATCTCAATTGTTGGCTTCGTGTCCCTTTTGGACCATCCGACAGGTTTCACACCGACATGGAAGCCACCGCACATATCAACTCCGTGCAACAAAGGATGGATTGATCAGAACATTTGCCAATCATTGTTCCTGGTACATCGAAACAGCGAATAGCTGCAGCGGCTCGGCAGGGAGCAACTAATGATAAAGCATGCTGTCGATCACACAACTTTTGCCGGTCGCGCCAGGCAATGGCGCGAAACAAAATTCCAAATATCTGTGTGTGTGTGTGTCAAAATAGGGAGCCCCCTTGTGGCCTCCCTTTAACACCACTCCAAAAAGACGGTCCTCCAAAATAGCACGTGGGGGCAGTGGGGGCCGGGCGTGCGCCTCTAGATGAGCATTGGAGCTTTCTGAAACATCTTGCTGCAAAAGGCAGGCGCTTTCTTCACGAAATTGGTTCTCTTCCAGGAAATGGGCAACTCCCTTTTGTTTCCTTCTAATCCAAAATGGGGTCACCCCAGCTTGAGACAAAATCAAAAGGTCAACACGGCGACAGCCCTGAGACGTCCTCGCAAAGTAGCCTGGCTCGATCACAAATGGGACCTGAGGCCATCTTCAACGGCTGACAGCGCGGACGAGCACCACTTCTCAGGGAAGATCGCTACGGGTGCCTGGGGTACGTACCCACGACGTAATACCTCTATACAGTATAACATACAAGGGGTAGCTTAGGGAAACTGTAGGGGTAGCACCCATAGAGGCCCCTGAAACTCTATACACCCCCGCTTATCCCCATTCGTATGTCGAGGATGGCTCCCCCCTACAGAAACTGCCAGGACAAGGCATGTAATGGTTGCTTCAGATTCATCCGGAGGACGGTACTAAATCAGGGGAGGGCCCCTTTTAGGAAGGAAATTACCTTTTTCCGGGTCCTCTGATTAGTAGGGCCCTCCAAATTCTTTTTCTTGGTCCAAGCTACGCGCCATAGGGCATTGCCAGTCCTCTCTGCACTCCACGCCCTCATCACCATCCTTGCTGACCTCAGCCACGTCTAAGAGCCCGCAGTACTGATCCTGAAAAGGCAGACTCATCCAGGTTCCTTCCGCCAGGCTCCGTACATCTCCCTAATCACGAAAGGAATCACGTCAACCCCAAAAAATATGTTATGATTCATTTAACGAAAACGGACATATATGGACCCCTCCATGCTGTCGGTGAAATGCTTCCGCAGGCCAAAAAGGGAGAATGGTGTCCTTCCTACCTGCCTGGCCGGCCAAGATACGTCTGGGGTGATCTTCACCTCGATGCCAAAGGCATCTAAGCCAACCTGGGCCAACACATCTGCGAAGCGAGGCGCGAGGCCATTGACTGCGCTCAATGGAAGACTTGGTTGCTGTTGACCCCCCTGCAAAAAGTTTAACTTTTTGGGAGTTTAGTGCCCAAAAAGTTAAAGTCTAAAGATCCAACCCAATAGCAGTCAAGAAGACAAGTCCATGATCTGTGGAGGCTGGTTCTCTCCCCAAACATGGAACCCGAAGCCTTTTGAGTCCTCCAAACGAGCATCCTCAATCTACAAGACGTCAGGCTCATAGTCTGCTTCAAAAAAGAAGCCGCACAAAGACGCCCCCGTGCGGCCCCCCCCCCAATGCGGACGGAGCTTCAGTAACGGCGCTCTGCGTCGCATCGAGCAATATCAGTTGCGCAGCCAGCAGAATAAAGCGCATGGAAAAGGAGTCGTCAGATCAAGCGTCTCGATAGCCTGTTGATACTGAAAGCTTTTCTCACGGATAAAATGTTGTCTTCGTGTATGTGAATCGCAAAGTAAAGCATCAAATGGTTTTGCACCCTTTGCTTGGTCCATGTCGAAGATCAAATTCATAGTAAACACCTCCGCTGGGTCCAAAATGTTTGGCCGGCGAACGGGAGAAACAAGCCGCTCCATGCCAGTGGGTGATGCGTGCCGGGACCATCGAGCTCTCACAAGGGCAGGGTGCCTTCCTTTAGCTTCCCTGTACCAACCAAAAGGAGGTCCCCCCCCCCACAAAAAATAAGCTCAGGTGATATCCCCAACAGCATGCGGTGCTCTCTTTAGCGCTCGCACCACCCTGCAGCCCTCGCAGAGCCTCGTGGAACCCTAGTGGAACCCTGGTGGAACCCTGGTGGAACCCTGGTGGAACCCTGGTGGAACCCTGGTGGAACCCTGGTGGAACTGTGGTGGACCCCTGGTGGACCCCTGGTGGAACCCTGCTAAAACCCTCGTGGAACCTTCCCTCAGGGCCGCCCCAGACCATGCCGGAGCGTATCTGGGCTGAGACCCCAAAGCTTTCAGCGGTTGGGGAAAAAAAAGGAACATCCCCTCCCGCCTCCCCCCCCCCAAAAAAAAGGAACAAAGAAATATTCATTCTGGGGTTCCCAAACATGACACCGCAAGGGCGGCCACGCGGCAGCAGCACACCGCGCGAAGGCTTCGGCCCATTTTTTATGCGAATCATTGCAGGGTCCCACCGAACCCACGACCAAAGCTCTCTGGGTGGCAAAAGCGACATTTGGGTGCGGGTCGTAAATGGGTGAATGGAAGCCTGCCAGATAGAATCAAGGCCTAAAATCTGCGCTGGTGGTTTGATATTGACCCATACCCATGTCTGTTTTTGCTTGCTTGAAGAACCGGATTCCTCTCACTCTTTTCTCAGAGGGTCTTGGTCATGCTCTGCGCCAGAAAATTGTGGGAGGCCACAATTCGAAGCAAACCAGCTGTCCGGTGATTCGTTTCATTCCAGTTGGCCTTCCGGCATTTGGCGCATAGCCGCAGCCAAGCGCCAACAATGCGCAAGGAGGGGGTGAGTCTCCATCTGGGGCAAAGGCACTTGAAAAGCTCGGCATGCTGCCGTACCCTAGACGCACGACCGGGGGGCAAAGATGGCTTGCCCTCTGCCTGATCGGCACATTGGCATCAACCCGCTTCCAATTAGTAGGTTACAGCCTGGGCCACACGGTCACGGAGCTGACACAGGAACATCTCTCAAAGGGGAGATGGTGGTATGAGTTGAGCTCCATGTTGCCGTGGGCCGCAAGACAAAGTGGCTTGCATCAGCAGGAACATTGCATCTGCTGATGCCATTGCAACTCATACTGGGCATGCAACAGGCTTCAAGCGAGCAACCGGTGAAAGGCCTCTCCGACAAATGAGCGTGAATAGGGGGATTCTTGTCCAAGGAAAATGCAGTCAAAGGCATTCCTGGCGTGTAAGTACTCGACCCATGCCGCATGCCAGCTCAAATTTCCTAGCAGCCATCCTGACCCATATGCAGCTATCAGTTTGGAGATGGCAAGTCTGCTTCAGCGAATTCAACGGACCTGGTACTGCCCGCACCAAAAGGTGATGCGCAGTTGCGCATGAAAGCGAGCACTGGTGAATTGCGCTGAATCAGCCTGACAGTGCAAGGTCGGCTCAGTTCACTTGCTGTTCCTCAAGAAGCAACCTTCAAAGCCGCACTGTCAGCTCTCTGCTTTGCCTTGAAAGCACCCTCCTGGAAGTCTGTTTGTTCAGACAGCCATGCGTAATCCGCATTCTGACTCACAGAATGGTACAGCATGGCTGCAGAGCCGCAAACCGCTCTGACAACCTTTATCGTCTCAATTCAGTCATGCAGGCGATGCAACGTCTCACGATAAATTGAGGAGCCGTGCATGGCACTCGCGAAATCGTCTGAGCTCGGAATCCAGATCGCAAAACGCGATCTTTGGCTCAGATGCCTTTACAAGTAGAAAACAGTTGTACAGAGGACACACAGCTTGCCAATGTTATCTTTGACCACGGTTTGCTGACTCCCACACATTGGCAGCTGTGAACGCCAGATTCCCGGCGCCTCTCACCTGCTCTTCACTGCAGCCCAGCTCTGCATTTCAGACGCCAATGCCTGCATGCTCCTCAAGCAGTGCAAAGCCTCAGTCGCTTAGAAATCTACCACAAAGGGTTGATATAAGGGTTGCAGCAATTAGAATGGGTCCGTGGGGTCCGTCAAATCCAAATCTAGTCATGAGTATTGGAATTAAAGTAAACTACAAGTAACTAGTTGGCCCCTTTTCTTTGCCAAAAAAAGCACTTCCTCTTCAGGATTTCGCTTCAGTAGCCTTGCCCAACCTTGGGGTCGACTGCTTTGTCACGTTTGCAGCATGGGAGCTTCTTCATCTAGAGCCAGCCCAACTTTCTCATCGCCGGTCGTTTCCACACCTGGGCTGATCGGCTTCCACCAAAAACAAACGAGCGCATGGGTCCTCGGAAACCGCAAAGAAAGACAGTTCGCCATGCAGATGATTCCCACGTGGTTTGTGGCTGACCCGTTTTTCTTGTTGTGTGTTCTTCTTCTTTTCCAAGTCGGTGGATTCCCAACCCCCGAGTCGATGAGTCACAGCTCCCATTGCCCTACGTTCATCTAAGGTTTGCTTCTGGTCATGTTTGCTTTTTCCGAAAATGAAGGATAGCTTAAACCAAGCTGCACGTGCAGTATTCAAAAGAACAAAACACATAATGTAATATGGAATGTAACGTTCAGATATTGAGAACATATGCTACTTCACCAGCACCGGTATTTGAAGACAAGCGTCGGCAAATGAAATTCCAAGGAGCCAAAGTGATAGCCTCAGAGCATCGAATCAGAATGCCGTCCAAGCACTGGACTTACATGGGTGTCATGTTTTTGGGTTTCCTTTCCGGTCCCATCAAAACCGACCAAAAGGAGGTACCATCAAAAAAGACACACCCACATATCACTTGACTCGCATCTATCACTGGCCAAACTCAGACAAGCAGCCTGGCTTTGAACAAAGCAGCATCGACCCGCGGCTTGCTGCTCACAAAACAGATGCGCCTGGCAATCGGCGATATCAGGGTGTGAACTTCAATGGGGGACACTTCGGTGGACATGATCCGGCCGCTGCGTCTTTTTGAGGGCACTCCCCGCTGGTTGGTTCTAAACCGCCATTTAGGAGGGTCCCCTAACATAAGACACGCGCATTTCGGGAGTCATGTGGCCATGAGTCAAAACCCCGCAACCCCAGTGAACATCCCAATCCCACTAAAATGGGTGGGTACCATTGGCTTTGAACCATGGCCACAAGAGGCGGCTGCCGACGCAAGTTCAACGCGGGTGATCAAGGGGTGAAGGCCGCGAGCGGACCAAAGATTCGGATCGCTCCTGGGCAAGGCTCCTTCGCATCGGCTCAGAAATGTGACTGTGTCAGCTTTGAGGGTACCATTTTGGGGCTAAAGGCCAAGATGATCCCAAATGGGGGTCCCCTTAGTTTCAAACATAGCCATTCGTGGGTGGGGCCCTGTGTTTGAAGGACATCCCAGCCTTTGGATATCTACAAGAGCCATCTGCAAGTCCCAACACGCCAAACGACAAACTCAGTTGTTCAGTGACCCTGGAAGAAAACAAGGGAACCCTTTTTGGTGAAGACCTCATTTTTAGTGGGGCAGCCACCCAAAAAAAGAGAAAGGGGAAACAAAAAAGGGTGCCACTGAACAACTGAGCCAAAGAAAAATCCAACCGCTGTGTGGTTTTTCCAGGCCACGGACCGCCAGCCCCCTTCCGACGGCTCAACGTCCCTCCCGGGAGCGCGCCTCCAAGCGGCTTTGCATATCCCAGCGAGCGAGAAACGGCGCTTGCCACCATGGGGTCTTGTGAACGCTGTGGATTCGGACGAGCTCCACCTCGGCTTTTTGTGCGTGCGCATGTCCATTTGGGTGGTTGTTTTTGTCTTTCCTTTTTCCCATTTGTTTTAATCAGGGTCCCTTATTGAGGTGGGGATTAATGTCCACCAACCACTTTGGAGGCGGTTCCTTATTAAAATGTTCACGGCCATTTGAGAGTGGTCTCGGCCCTTTTCGGGTTGCTCAGGGAAGCCAGAAGGACAATCAACGGTCTTCCGTAAGACACCTCGCGTGAATCTCGGATGAACGAACCCTGGGTTGACTCATTCATAGGGGGCGAGTGGGAATCCTTCACGTTAGGAAGGGAACCCGCCCCCCCCCTACTGGTAGGATGGATTTATTCATCTGGAATTCCCCTTTCCACGATGTCATTCCGTAAGCGCTCAGCGAACGTCAAGACTACTTGACGTCATCTTTGGACTGTTGTGAGCTTCTCAACCATGGGATTCTCACTTTCAAGCCTCCAAGCAAACGACCTGGCTGCCAGGGCTCTGTACATGAGCTCTCTCCGTTTCCATTCACGAAGACCTCAGCACGGGCGGTTGCTGGGTCCATGACAGCACCCTGAAACCCTCCAAAAATGGCTTGAAGGCGAGCCACCCCAAAAAGTGGCCTTGAGAAGCCCAAAAAAACATGTCCCTTCCAAGTTGGGCCTCTTCCCACTTCTGGACCTGCAGTCCAACAAAAACGCGAACAGAAACTCTCGCGCTCTTCTGGAAGCTGAGCGGCCAATGCATCAAAACTTCCCGAAGACGAGGCGGGCAAAGAATTGGCAAACTCTGGCACCTACGAGGCGCTGCGCGGCTTTTTTTTGCTGAATCGGTCCCTTAAGATGGTCGGCTTGCATCCGTTGGGCGTCTGGCCACCAACCCAAGGGCTCCAATGAGAGGTCTGGGGTGCGTACCATGAGAGCAGAACCTGTGTAATTGAAAACGCCCGTCGGCGCCATCCTGACTACTGACAAGCAGCCTTGCTGCCAACAGGGCGAGGGTTGGGTAGAGCTACTCAGAACACCTAAAAAGTGGGTGTTCCTTTTTGAGGATACCCCGTTTGGAGTGGTTTTCAGGCGGAACTTCATGAAGCCTGGTCAAAACTTGTGTGGACCGTGGGCACGGCTCCCTGAACATGCGAGCCAAGACGCCGGCTGGAAAGCAGCATGCAGATAATGGCTCTGTCCCGAGCATAACGTATCCTTCAGCAGCGACCTGGCACAGGAATGCTTCGCGATACAAAAGCTTCTCTGCTGGCAAACGGGATCTCCAAACATGGTTCAGTACAAAGGCCTTGTCTCCCAGAGGACAGTAGTCTGCCAATAAAGGGCTCGGCAAACATGCTTGTTGGCGGGAGGGCACTATACCCTTTTGCCAAGAAGGACTACCATCAAATTAAAAGGCCCGTTGTCCGCTTCCATAATTGTTGGAAAGAGGATACCCTTCCTCCCACTGATATGGCACCTAACACGGGTCCCTTCAAGAGGAATTGATCTTCCAGGTACCCTCAGGGCAAATGGTTGGAACCAAAGAACAACCAGTGACATCTAGTGAGGTAAAGATCGACCATATTCCTCCATCACCGAGTGCCTCGCACGAAGCAGCTCGTGAACCAGCAAGATGTGGGTCGCCGGTGACATGGGAGGTGCCAAATTCACTCCTGACTCCATCGGCTCCCCCGGGCCGCTCGATCTCTGCCTCTCGACCAGCTATGGATATTTTTTTTTCCGAGTCGGAACCGCCTCAAAGCGAAGCCCCGAATTCTGATGTCGACCAAAGGCTCCCTCGTCAAAATTCAGACCCGGAATTGAACCCCATATCTGTTCAGGTTCGGGTTCAGCAACCCTCTCTGCCGAGGTGCTCCCATTGGACCCGGCCAGCACAAGGGTATACAGCTGGTTTGGGGAAAGCAATATGTTACAAAAGGACCCAAGGCGGTTTGGTCTTTTTTTAGTGGACCCAATCGAACGGGAAGCCCAGGGTAGGGTTCAAACCCATATTTCCAACAGGACCCATCAATTCTCGACCCAAATTTGCGGTTTGGTCATCGATTGGTCAGTCCTGTTTCAGGGTCAATCACCACCAGATCTGCGTGGCACGGCCGCTTCGGGCGCGCGTGCTGCTGGAAGACAGACACCGCTGAGCCTTTCCTCAGACGCCAAAAAGCTCGCCGGATCGGAGCGCTTGACTGGAGTGGGTCTCAAACGACAAGAAACATGTTTTCCATTATGTCCCCAGAGAAGAAATATGCCACCTTAAAAAGGTACCAGCTCAAAAAAATAAAAACTCTCTGTTTTGCAAACTCTGGGCACTTCCCAAAAAGCTACCCGGCGTCTGCGCGCAGTTGGGGCTCAACCGGCTGTTGCCCAGAAGAAAAACCCAGGGCGTTGGGCCACGCCGCTGCGAGTCGTCCACCGAAAACAGTTGGGCTGCAAAGACTTGGCAGATGGGATGTCCGTTTCAAAATCTGGCAGTATCTTGCAATCTAATATACCCTCCCACCAATAGACGTAAAACCTGACGTTCGGGGGTTCTTTTAGAAGGAAAATGGTCTTCCAGGAACCCACGTCAGGTTCCATGTTAACTGGTGGGAGGGTATCTACATTGCAAAGCTGTAAGCTCCCGCCTCCCGATTCCAGTGGAATGATATCAATTTGCTTCTGTCCAATGGTGGCAAAGTTGCATACTCTGACTCAACATGTTGGATCTCCACAAAACGTATGTCCCATGAGAAGCACACACCCGTCTGCTTCCCTCTAACTGGTGGCTTCTTTCCCCTTTACACAAGAAGCAAAGCTAAACCCAAAGAAAACAAACCCCAGCCGCTGCGCCTCCGGGAGGAACAAGAGGTAGGTGTCAAAATGGGTGCATACCCCAAAAAAATATAGGCTTTGCTCCTTCTCTTGGCATCCCTGAACTCAACTTGAAATCAGTTAACCCTTCATGGATTGGTGGTTTGGGGATGAGAAGACACAGCCTACAACACACGAAAAAAAGAAGAAGAAAAACGCCCAAAACCCAGGGAAAAACACAAAAGACGGAAAGCAGCACACACCGCGCAGCACTTCCGGCCCGGCGCTTTGCTTCTTCCCGGCTTCAATCCGAGACGCTCAAAGCGCAGCTTGCCATCCAGGCCGCTGACGGTGGTGTACCGCTGGAAGAAGGCGCCTCGAGAAAGGCGGCGACGTTCCATCGCCACGGGCTTCGTGGCCAGCGAACTTCCACAACGTGGGTCATGGCACCCCACATGGGTCTGGCCAGAGTCAAAATGGCACCCCCCAAACAAAAAGTCAGATGGCCATGGGCTTGTCAAAATCCAAGTCGGTTAGCCCCCAGTGAACATCCGATTCAATCCAACCACTCAAATAGGTTCTAAAATGGGTGGTGAATTCACCTACCCCAAAATGGCGCCGTTGGTTCTGACCCACAGCCATATAGGGTCTGTCTCTTGCGGGGTACACCCCATTGGTTTGGTGCGTTTTACAGGAAAACCAAAAGGAGAAACACCAGTTTAACTTTATTGTTGTTGATTTATTTTGGGATCCCCTCAAAAAGACACACCCATACGGAGTTTGTTGCATGTTGTTTTTGGAGGATGTAAAGTTGGGGGAAACCTCGAGTTGCGGTTGGATACCTCCAACAACCCAGGGCATCTAAATCTTGTAAACATTATCTGAGTCATAATCAAACCCGGTGTTAGAATGATCCTCCCAGAACCATGCTGCGAGAATTTAAGAAGGCGGCTTCACGAATTTCTGATTGGGAATATCCCTTGCGAACCTTCCTCTATGGGTGTTGACTGTGGCTCACTCTGCTTCCCTCTTTGGCTTGGTGGGTTGGAGGTTACGCTACCTGCCCATGCAGCTCCAACACTGACTAGGGGTTCAATTCCCCAATTCCCACCAATCCAAACCACCAACCAAGGGTTACCTGAGCCAGGGTTCTATTACGTGCTCCGGGATCCCAAAGAATGATTGGTTTTCTGTTGGCTTCCCTTCAAATACCAAAAAGGGACGCACCACTTTGAGCAACTCCCATTTGGTGTGCGCTTTTTCAAGGGTACCCTGAAAGGAGCTGTTCTCAAGAAAAGCCCATATTCATTGCTTATTTTTGCTTGGCCGTGAATTCTTGTCCGAAACTCATTTCCCTTAGCCTTTGGGGGGGGGGGGAAGTGTTGGGGGGGGAGTAGAGCCCTCTATGAAAAAAGGAAGGTCTCCGAAATTGGCCATGGACCATGCTTGGGGAGTACAACCTCTGTTTCCACTCTTCAAAGCGGGCGGCTGGCTGGTGGAATTCACGGACAAGACCTTTGGGCTCTTACAAAGGAGTGCCTGATGTGAAGGGGGGGACCCTGTTCGGGTTTAAAGAGAAGAAAAACCGCGGGTTTTGGGGTTCTCCTTTTTAGAGACAAACCCAATCTGGCTCCGGAGCAACCAAAGCGGGAAAACCAAAAAGGCGAAATCAAAGAACAACAAAGGAGACCATGTGAGCCCCCCCAATGACATTGGATTTTACTAAACCCATCCCCTCATTGATTTTGCCATGCTATGCCGATGAAACCTCTGAGAAGTTGATGAGACCAACTGAGCTCCATGTGCTGAACCGTGCACGGACAAGAACCACTGTCCGGCGGCCAATCGGCCGGAGAAGGGTTGCCAGGATTGAAGGGGGTCCGGCAGTCAGCTGAAACCCTATCCCGTTGAATCAACCCGAACCGAAAACCGAGCCGAAACCGAAACCGAGCCGATTACACAAAGGAACAGCAACGAGCCGAATCTGTTGACGAACCCCAAAATAGGTTTCCAGAGGCAGAAACTGAGCCGGACCAAACCGAAGCCGCACTAATATCGGCAAAAATGGTGGTTGTTTGCAGCCACCGACTAAAAACGGACGGTGACAATTGTTACAATCCCACAGGGAGTCAAATGACCATGACCCACCTGGAGATGTGCCGACATACCGCCATGCCGAATCCTATTCTCCAACCTTGAAATGGTGGCTTCCCCACTTCAAGACCCGGCAAGCATCCTGAAGCGGAGTTATCTTTGGGTCACCTAATCCCAGGATATGTCATCGGGCTGCACCCCCAAAGATGGCTTTCTTTGTGGCTTCCCTTAAACCCACCCCAAAACAAAGCTACCGAGCCTCAAAAAACATGTCCTACAACCAAGTCGTAGACTCACCCACTCAAATGGCCAGTAGGCAAGCGATGTTTCTTGCGCTGCACAACTTGCACACTGCTTTGCCTCTGGGTGGCAGATCGAGCTCGAAAGCACTGTCGCTGTGTGCTTTTGGCCAATGACATTCTGGAAAACGATGGAATGAGAACTGACAATTCCACGACGTACCAGCGCATTCCACCAAGAGAGTTGGGCCCAAAACAGCTGGCCGTGGGTCAAAATTAGGGTAACCCCAAAATGGCTTGCCCTCGTAAATGGAAACATTGACGATTGCCCCCGGTGAACATCCCAATCCCCACTAAAATCGACTAAAATGGGTGGTGAATTCACCTACCTCAAATGGGATCCCATTGGTTTTGACCCAACAACCGGATGCGAAATCTCCGAGGTGCTCAGGAGCGTCAGCACGGCCGAGAAGGGGTTCTCAGCCAGGAGATCGGGGGCGAGACAGCCTGGGAATTCGTGGGCGCGTGGACATCTTTTTTTGGACGCGCCGACTGGGAACGGACGATTTTGTTGTTGCAGGGGATCCGAAATGGCGGACATTGGAATGATGTTTGTTTTTCTGGTTGCAGGGGACTTGGTTTTGTAGGGATCCGAAATGTCGGACATCAGAACTGATGTCCACCAGCCACTTCCGTGTTGATTCCAACTTTGAAAACTGATAGCCAAATGCAAATGGGGGAAGCCTGTTTGGAGTTGATTACCACTTGTGGATTTGCCTCTTGCAACTGTTCGTTCAGGCTTTCCAAGTATGTTTTCCACCCAAGGTGGGGGGAGGGGGGGCTGGAAGGAAACCAAAGGGAAACCACACGTTCTCCGAGGTCCGATGATTCTTGTGAAAACACTCCCTGCGGGTTTCAGAATTCCTGGGAAGCTAAGAAAGAGAGAAACATAGACACAGGGAGGAAAAAGGCAAATAGGGGCAGTGGAAAAATTGTACAAGGGGTCCCCTGAAAAGCCACGTCTTCGTAGATGCCCTGAAAAGGGGGAAAGTGAACCAACCAGCCAACCACCGCCGGCCAACCAGGGAAGCAGGGAACCAGGGAACCCACCAAACCAAACCCTACCTAAAATAAAGAAAACTAGGTCCGGTATGTACATGAGAGTGAAAGTAGATGGCACTATTCCCCTTATCTCAGTAGGCAAGGATAATCGAATTCAAATGCGGAAAGTGTGCCATCTACGTTCGCCCAAGTGTAAAGAAACCAAAACACGTGTTGGGTTCTGCCTAAAAAATACAATAAACATACAGAACACTGAATCCAAGCAAACAAACAATCCAAACAAAAAACCTGTAAACCACAAGAAAAAAAAATCCAGACAACCAACAAGAAGGAAACCTGTAAAACACATGCAAAAAAACTATTAAAAAACAAACTAACAAAAAAGAAACCTGTACAACACCACCAAAAAGAACAACCACAAAAAGGCATCGGTCAGAGCCGCCGCTCTGCTCCGCTGAGACGTGCATCGCCAGCAGCATCCACGCCACGGTGGGCAGGGCGCCGTCCTTCATCCGGGGGATGCGCCGCATCCTGCGGATGTCAGGCACGGAGTCAGCTTCCCTCTCAATGGGTGTGTGTCTCTTTTTGAGGGTACCCCTTTTTCTGGGTTTCAAGCGGAAACCAAAAGGAAACCACAATTTGGTTGTTCTTTTTTATTTATTTTTTTCGGAAACCAAATGGAAAACCAGCATTTGTGGTTGTTCTGTTTTGCTTTTTTGGCTTGTTTCTCGAAAACCAAAAGGAAAACCACAAATTTGAGGGGCCCTCCAAAAAAGACACAGCCAAAGGGCATGGGTCAGTCTTAAACCAGGAATCAGACCGCAGCATTTCTATTGTTGGTTCCATTTAGCTTTTGACTATCTATTCCTGACCCACAGCCAAATAGGTGTCTGAATATAGCCCCACCCCACCCCACCCCCACCCCCCCCCCCCTTGATGGAGGGAAGGGTTTGAAGGGTTTTCCAGTTTAAAAGTTGCAGAAGACTCGAAAATCCTTGGCAAGCAACACCCCCAGCAAAAAACTAAAAAAGAATGCCTGTACCCTTAAATAAACAAAGAAACATGGTGTTGTGGATTGCTTAGGTTTGGGGGGTGGTTTCCCTTTACCCTCTACAGGCACCAAGGGTTCAACCCCCCCCCAATTGGACCAAAAGGGGCTGTGTAACACCACCAAAAAGGGAAGTTCCTGGTACTGCCCGCATTTACTCGAAGGGTCGACAACCAAAAAGTGAGGTTTACAATGGGTAGAAGGGGAATGATAGGGAACCCTGAACAGTACGCCGAGACGAGTCGCTTGATGCGACCAAAGCCGTCGACTTGCGGGCGTGGCTTGGCACGGGATTTGGGACTAACTACTAACGGGATCTGCTAAATGGTCATTTAATTGATGTTAAATGGCAGGCAAAGCAAACCGTTGCTTTACACAAAATATGTCTTTCTTTCTTGCCGCATTTAGCCACAAGCTCTGGTCCGGTGAGAAGTTACACGCCATGACTCCAGAAGAAAACTCCGGCTTCTCATCAGATCGAAGTTTCTCGTGAACGAAGGCTCTTTGACAGGATTGCGGCGGGAGCTTCTGACCAATCTCAAGGTCCCTGGTATGACAGAGGGAATTATCCATGGCAAGGAAACCCATGCAAGGAAATCAAGCCATCTCTGCACGTGCAAGACCACATCGGTCCTGATCAAGGCAGCTCAATGCTCCTGGAAAACTTAGACACGCCCCGCCTTAGTAAGGCATTAGGCCTCAATAAGTTTTGTTTGGGGGCAGTGCGGGCCCATTGGTACCTCATTCTAGCGAGTTGTCCATTGGCTAGTTTCAGGGTGGTTGTTCAGGGGTGCTTGGAAGGGTGCTTAACCACGCAGACCCGGCCTCAGCCACCACTTGATGCAGCGCAGGGTCACGGTCAGCACGGGGACCTGGACAACCTGGTCGAACGTCTCTGACTCCATTTTCGGTATACCCTCCCTCCAACAATCATGGAAGTCAGCGGGAAGTCAGAAGACTCAGTCCTTTTTGGGGCAGCCCCCTATCCACTTCTATGATTGTTGGAAAAAGGGTAAGTAACTCAGGGAACACACCCTTTAAAGCTCCAAAAGAAAATGATTGGTTTCTTCCGTTGACGCTTCCTTTCGCCACTAAAGATCCGCTAGGTCTGTATCGAATGTGGTGTTCTTGCAAGCGCTCACCTTTCCAGGACTGGACCATTTTTGTCAACATCAGTCAACTCTACCAGCGGCTTGGTGGTTTGTCAACCAATATTCATTTGCTTTGGGGGGGCATTTGTTCGAACCCCCAAGCCACCAATGTAGCAATTGGGAAACTAGCAAAGGTATCCCTTTTGATGGAAAAGGCATCCACCAATCCAAACCACCAATCCAAACCGCCTCTTTCGATTTGGGATACACCAAGTGAAAAGCTAGATGTCACAATTCGCCCATCCTTTGGTAAGATAAAATCTTGCTGGAGGTTGTGCCATCGCTCACCCAACGGCAGGCCTCAGGTACCTTTGGGGTCTAGTTTGACAGCCCCAACACCTCGTTTCGTCTCCTTTCGGCTTACCCTTTCAACTACGGAAAGGCGGGAAAGACCCAAAACTACAGAACCACGCGAGTTCGGCGATTCCCAAGATGCCCCAAAAGGCACGCACGCGATTTGGGCCCTTTGTCCCATGGCTGTCAGGGCCAAACAAGGAACCCAAGAATCCCCCCCCAAAAAAAAACAAAAGGCGGCCTTCGCTAGTCGCCCCTATGGTGATTCGGGCATCCTCAAGCATAGGCCGGAACCGAAAACCCTGAGGCGCCCGCTTTGGGAGGATTGGGTGGCACTGCTCCGATGTGGTGGAACCACTTCACCTGGCGATGGAGTCCCCAGAAAGAGTGGGGGGTCCTTCGGGTTAAAGGCTACCCTCAAAAGCACACTCACAAATCCCAATGTCTACTTACTCTGCCTGACCTGGAACCCAATGCTTGGGGAGGTCCCCCGTGAATCTAAAGAAGAGTATATCGCCGAATGCGACCGAAATCTACTATTCCTTTGAAGGACCTGGAAAAAGTGCGTTCTTCCTGCAGGTGATGCGAGGTTTGATGAGTCCGTGATCAAACAACGCTTTACGCTTTACGCGCAGTCGAAACATTCAGCTTCTTGCATGTTTCTCAGAATAGGGGAAGCCTAAAAACATGGGCCGTTACTTTTTGGCTTCCCTTTAAGCCACCAAAACAGGGCCCAGGATTTGGGGAGTGTAGGGGAGAAAATCATAACCATTTTGAAAAGAAACATTCTGACTCGGGAAGTCAAACCGAACCTGAAATCTGCTCATCCGTCCCGACTTTGTTGGTTGGAGGGTACCCTTTTTCAGGTTGGCTTAAAAGGGGGAAGCAGAATGACAATCAGCTGTGTGTGTGTGTGTGCGTGTGTTTCTTTCTACTTGTGGTTGGTTTCAGAGGGAGATACCCTCCCGTCCACTAACATGGAACCTCATACGGGGGCCCGTCTTCCTAAAAAACAACAACAACAACAACAACAAAAAACGGACCCTGTGGTGGGTTCCCTGCTACTGGACAGGGAGATGTTTCGCGATTTCTTTGGGGCATCAAATAGCCAAGGCACATGCTGGATCGAGTGATGGGAGTTGATGGCGAGGTCCACCTGAGCAAATCGGGCGTGGCGCCCCGGTGACTCACCCAAAAAAAAACGGCGTGGGCTTGCATATGGCGTGGCTACAATGGGTTGCCCCGGTAAATGGAAAAGAGCACTACAACCTGCGATTTGCTGGTGGTTTAGCTTTGATCACCGTTCTAAGCCCTATGAACACCCATTGACTTTGGGCTCCATGATTTGGTCAAGGATTACATGTTAAAGGTGTCCAAAAAAATAGCCCCCCAAAAGGATGCCGAGCCTCAAAACAGCGCATTCAGAAAGATGGTCATAGAGGTTTCTATCTTAAAGGGACGCAGGCGAAGCAGTCAAAGGGCAGGGAGCCAAATTTACGGTCGGAATCTTCGCGGGCCTCGTCTTGGGTTGCATATGGGTAATCCTTTTTTGGGGGGAAACCATTTTGGGATTGGTTTTGAAGAGAAACCAGCAGGAAGCCAACCATTTTTTGGGGGGGTCTAATTTGAGACACACCACGAAAAAATGGGAAAGTACTCTGCAAATGGTTGGCGTCCTCTTGGCTTTCCGGGCATTCTCTCCATGCCAGCTGCAGCCGGAATGCCAGGACCTGGTTCTCCGATGATACCGCCAAGATAGGAATCCGAGCGTCATCAATGACCTCAAAAGAACTGCGCGTCTGCCACGAACTTTCAAGCAACCATTGGTGGGAGGTGAATTTGAACCCCTGGGTTCTTGTGGGTAAATTGGAGAGCCATCCAACCACCAACCCACCAAACCACCAAGAGGGAAGCTGACACTTGACAGCGACACACCGAAGCCCCGCGCCACAGCTTGGAAGCCCTCGGGGAATCCACTGGAATGACCTTGGCTCAAGCGCTTGGCGGTCGCTTGTGCGTTGGTTGCCTGCCAGACACTTCTTTGAATCATGGCTCAAACAACGGTCGTTGAAACCAGGACATGTCAGAGCATTCAAGGAGAACCACCAGGATTGACAAGCCGCTGTCCGAGGTCAATATCTCTTTCACTTTCCTCAGCACTGCCACCGCATCGACTTGATCCGCTGGAGAATGGGTCATGCACCTCGGAGTCTCAAAATCGCCATCTGGGGTCTTCCTTGCTCACGAAAGAGTCCAACGTTTGGATTGCCCGGAAGACTTGAAACCCCCGGCCTTCCTTTTCAGGGAAATTTAACCACCCCTTGTAAGTCTGCCTGCGGGTAATCAAATCACATGCCTTAATTTGCATTTCAACAGGATTTGGTCCCGTAGAGGCCCTTTTGGATTGGCTTAACAATGAATCGTAGCAACAGCAAAAACCCGGACCTCGGCATCCTTGGTTTCTTGCCGCGGCACACGACGTCCACGTCGCTTCCAGGAGTTTCCAGTGATAAGGCCAGACTTCCAACCAGCACCATCTCCTGGATCACACACTTTAAAATCGCCAGCCACTATACGTCGACTAACATGTCCATGCGAAACTCACCTAAATAAGGTGATGTCCAAACCCACCGAGGGAAATAGAGCCGGACCCATCGTCCAGAGGTGCCCAAAGTTTGTCCCTGGCTGACGGGCTTAGGTCCAGTTGTCACTGCGACTTACGCCCAAGCACATAACATGTAAAACTTTTGCATTTGGCCAGCCTTCAAAATTCAAGTAGTATGTCCCGACGTGGAACTCAACAAACCCTCATGTATAGAGGAATCTACTTTTCGGGGCACCCTTGTTGGGTTTTGTTTTTGTGCATCTGCGGGGAGTACGACTTCAAGGTAGTAGTTCAAGGGGTTAAGCAGACGGCAGAATTCCTCGTAGGGGGATGACTAAACCAAAACGGGAGAACTGTGCCATCTACGTTCTCCCAACTGCAACTGGTTTTATTTGGCGCAAAATCAACAGTACTTAAACGGTCTGCCCAAATCCATGTCAACAAAACGGCTTCTTGCGGCACCTCTTTATGATCGGGACTGTCCCATGCTAGCCTTCAATTCTCGGGATTTGGTTGTGTAGCTCATGTGTCGCTTCGGCACACGCCGTTTTCGCGCTCTCCTTGAAGTCAGAGTCAAGCACAGTCCTGCAGCCGATTGCGACACGTGTTGCGCCGATTGATTGGAAGACACGATGGTTTTGTCTTGGTTGCTTTCTGCTCCCCTGCTAAAAGCTTAACTTTTAGTGGTTTAATGGAAAACCCATTCGTTGGCAAAAAGTTAAAGTCCTAACATCCAAGCAAAATGCAACAAACTTTTCAGGGCTTCACATCTGGGCAAAGCGCACTCATTCGCAGACCTTGTCGAAGGAAAGGGTGACATCGCAAAGCCCCCTAGTGACATCGCGCAATTTGGCCCCGGGTCAAATCAAAGTCCTTTGGGTGTGGCTCCCTTCTTAGTTGCGTTTCCAAAATGGGTGCCCCAAGAAGGAGGGGTTAACGGAAAACCGTTAAAACAAAAAATCATCTCTGTGGCTTGTACTAGAGGGGTGACTCCTTGTCCATTCATCCTGCTTTTTCAAACCCGGCTGCTTCCGGTGGCTTAAACCCAGGGCTTCTCCTTTCGATGAACGCGTAGGTATCTGCGTCTACCTTGGAACTCTGATTCTAGGGATTGATTCCGTTTCCATTCTTTTCAACCATCATTCTTTTCAAAAACCGGATCCGTGTTTTCAGGGTGTTTGATGGCTTTCTGAAAAGAAGGATCCCTGGAAAGAATGGAAGTGGAAGTGTCCCCTAGACTGACCAGGGATCCTTACATTATACACCTGAACATTGCCTTGTAAATGGTGGTGTCCCTTTATTTTGGTGGAAAAAGCCATGGTTCAATTGGGCAAAATGTATCTTTTAAGGAGCCTTGCTGATGTACAGCCACTTCCTGATCCGCAACTCTGCAACGGGACAACACGGGACACGTCCTACACGCCGTCTCCACAAGGCTTACCCACTGCTGCTGCCAGGAGCGCATGCCTGGCCGGCGAGTCTTGAACCGGCCAAGGGTCTCTTTGAGCGCCCGAGGTATTTAGGGTGTGGCTCAAAAATCAAGAGCTAGGGTTCAGCGGCTTTTAGTCTTTGGCGGCACTTGCAAAGGCGCGCTACTTCAGTGCATGTCTTTGAGCCACAGCCATTGGTTTCGTCTTCCAGGCCTGGGCCCCCATTTCGGTACCCCCCTTGACACCTGTCTATTGGAACAACAGCAGCAGCGACCTCGATGGGTGAAGGACCGACTTCTCGAGATGCTCTTTCTTGCCTTTGGTTTCACCCTTTGTGAAGGATTCATCGCCCAGCCTTGACAGTAGGAATCCATGTAGCCCAGCATGTCCTCAAAGCCACTGCCAACGTTCAGAACTGCAAAACCTGTTCACGGCAAGCGCAGTGATTCCATTTCCCTACGCATGCCCTTTAAAAATCAAAGGACAATGGCTGGCTATCTACTATGGTGGTAGTTGGGATGCCGTGCAACCTTCGCTCGCATGGGCAAGATTCAAGCGTCCTGAAGGTATTGCAAGCTGCCAGCATATGGAGGAGCCCAAACAGGGACTTCAGGAGGTGTCGCTCTGGCTGAAACCTGGCAATCCGCGACAGCAAAGAAAGGCATACGAGAAAGGTGGAAACTTGTCGTTTGAACCAAAACAAGGCTCAGTGATCCTAGAACACTCCCCAGAAGTGTGGTCCCAGAAATCTGCACATGCGCGAAGAGTTCAAAAAGCCTGCAACACCGGCCTCCGCAAAAAAACATCGACACGTAGGAACTTTCAACCTGAAGATTTGATTCTTCTTGGGTTTGAGTGGCTTGTTGGAGTGTTCCCTGCAGAGTCCTCTTTCACATGCCAGTGCCACTGCAGAACAACCTGGCACTCAGTCCCCCCTTAGGCACCCAGAAACAAAAAGCTCGGCTGCTGGAACTGTGACGAATGGACCAAATCAGGAAAAACCGAAAGGTCAAAAGGTCCGGACCCATGCCTTTTGCGAAGGCCAATGCAAGGGAAAAGAGATCTCACAAGCAGAACCCAATCAGAACCTATATCAAGGTATTTGTGATATACACAGATAGGAATTACATGTGGATGGCTTTTCCTGTAACTTCCCATTCAAGCAACCCAAAACGGGTACCCCCAGCCCACATCTTGCATGTACACCAAGCCTCCCTCTCCAGGCCTTCCCTCCCCAGATTCGCCGGTGGATTCCACGCCCAAACCAAAAACAAGACTGGCTTCAACCGCAACGGACATGAGGGAGAAAAAAACGGGGTCTACTGCACCTCAGTGTGTGTGTGATGGTTCCCGCAAACACACAATGGCTTTGGTCGCCCAGTTGGGCTCCTTTAAAAAACCTTCCGCAAAAAGGGTACCCTTCCCCCAACTAACATGGCACCTGTGGGGAGGTACCTGGAAGATCAAATTCGTTTTCAAGGGACCGGGTCCCTGTCAATTGCCATGTTAATGGGAAGGGAGGGCACCAGCTCAAAGAGGCGCCAGCATTTTTTTTGCGTTTTGGCTCCACTTTGAACACACGCCCACGAGAACGAGCCGATCGAAAGCGAGCCAGGCGCCTCGTCCCTTTGCTCCATGAAGCTGCTGACCTGAAGGAAGCCCAGAAACAACACACAAACCTCGAAACACGGAAGCTCCCAGACCGCTGTAAGTGGAGCCAAGGCCTCCAAAGTTCTGTGTAAGCTTGGGGGAGGGTAACCGTAGAAAAGAGAGCGAGAGAGGAAAAGAACAGAGAATAGAGAGAGAGAAGAAAAAGACAAGAGAGACCAGACGAAGCACCCTCATAGCAGTCAAAATATGCAGTTTCCAAAAAGCAATGGGTATGAACTTCCTGCGGCTGTCATTTCATTTAGGTTGGGAGGCTGCCATTTAAGGGCCCGTGTCTCAGGACACCACACACACACAGACAAAGCCACGCCCTCCAAACAGGCTAAAACATTTTCGCATGGCCCCTGTGTTGTTGCGGGAGGTTGAGAGAGCAAGGCAGAGAGACAGCGAGAAACAGAAACACAAGGAGAGGGAACGCAACTGGGACTTGCTTGGTTGGGGTTCCCAAGAAACACTTAACCTGACATCCTTTGCTGGAATAGGTCACCGTCTCTGGCTGTATGTTGTGCTTTCTCGCTCCAATTCTGCCGTGCCAATGGGGACGTTGGTGGACACCATTTGGGCAGGGAGTCATGTCCACCAGCCACTTCTGAGGTGGTTCCGACTCGTAAGCTTCATGGCCAACTAGGCCTGATCTGCATCAACCCCCATGACTGGAACCAGCTCCAGCCAAAGTCGTTGGAACATCCAGGCTGAATCGGGTGTGGCTCAAAGTTGAAGCGCTAGGGTCACGCAGGTGTTAGTCTGTGGTTCCATTTACCGTTTGGTGCCATTTTGGTGCATCACTTTTTGGAGCCACAGCCAACTAAGTACCTAGCGACAGACCCCCCAATGGGTCACAAGAAGCCGACTCAGAGATCAAAAAATGGCCGAGGCACGCTGGCAGAGGACGAGTCCCCCATCTCTCCCGCTTCGCTGAGCGCCGGCGACGCCGTGCCTGGAACGGAGCGGATGGGCTAACTTCCTGGAGACCCCGTTGTTTTGAAAGGGAAACCTGGAGGGAACCATCCCATGCAAAAATCCCCCCTGTTAGAGACAGACTCATCTGAAAACTGGCTCCAATCAAGGTGGGCAGTTTCCCTTTTCAGATGTTTTCCAAGGTATCACAGTGGTCGCAGGGCCATGTCTGGTTCGCCGATGCATTCATGTGACCGAAAAATCCCATCGGCACAGAAAGTGGCAACCAAAATCCCCACTTCCTGAGTCTCGCGTTGGCTCGGTTTTCCCTCGGGATAGATTCAAAGGGAAACCAATGCGCCCAGCAGCTGGTCAAAGACTCTCTAAGGAAACATGAGGATTGAAAGGTCGCCGACTTTGAGACAAACCCTATCTGAATCCATAAGCCCAGCAGCTGGTCAAAGACTCTCCAAGGTCGCAGTACTGGCTCTCCTGCACACGGCGAGGGCAACAAACACGTTGGCTCCACTTTATCTATTGATGCATCAAGGAAGTTCTCTGTTCATTTGCTTATCTATGAACTTATTTATTTATCAGCGGTTTCCCTTACGAAGTATCTGCTGGCCAAAACCGCGCGCTTTTCGAAGAGAAAGGGACCCGAGCCTGAAAAGAAAACCACGCCATGGCAACTGTTTACTTCGTCGAAGGACATCAGACTTCGGGGGCTCATGGCCACCACTTGTGCTCCAACTCTTAAAACTCCGTTTGCCACTTGGGACGTGCCCACCGAGCTGGAGGCTTGCAAGGCTTGCAGCATCCCCAGTTCAAGCGGAGAGCCTTCGCATCTTCGCCTTTCTCATCGCTTCGCGCAGAGTTGGCCAACTCCTCGGGAGCGGAGACACGCAACGCAGTCGCACCTCCGACCGGTGAAACACCAAAGCAGCCAAGCCGCCTTGAGCGATCCGACCAGATGCGCCTTCCTGAGACCCACGGCGGGTGATCAAACATTCGGAAATCAGTGCTTGCCGGGTACAAAACAGGAGCCAAGTTTAGCATTTGTCCACTCGTATCCCTGAACAAACAGACTTATGAACGCCATCACAGCAAAAAACTATTGTTACTGTTGATTGGGAATGCCTGAAGCACTAGCCTCTGGAAGAATCCCAGACATGGAATTCTCAGACCATGGCATTCCGTCCCTCGCGAAAGAGACAAACAACCCGGTGTATATACACCGGGTTCCCACCAAAAGGAATCTCACTTTAAATTATGACTAGGTCCTCCAGACTGGTTAGAATAAGGGTACCCTTCTTTCTGTAGTCTATTTTAGTAGGGGAACCCTCCCCCGAAAAAGCTGGTCAAAGGGCACTATTGCGGGACCTAGATGAGGTCCAAACCAACCCGCGGCTTGCAGCAAAGATGCGGATCTGTGCCCATCAAATCCGCCTTCCTGGGCCGGAAAGGAGATCTCTCGTTCCCGAGTCGAACTCAGCTTGCTCTTCTTTGTTGGGGTTCAGGTGGTGAGGTGGTTTCAAACGCCCCAATCCAAAGTCACCAATGAAGGACCACCTGAGGAATGTGTTTCTCATAGCAATCACCCCAAAACAGAAGGAGGCAAATAGCCAGTCTCATCTAACAGTTTATTAGATTCTTCATACATCCCTGGCTGACTTTGATGTGGGGGTGTTTCCCTCCATGCGAGCCTTCACTGTTGGCGATCCCTCCTTCAATTCGCCGAGTCTCAATTTCAATTGCACTTCGTCCCTTTTTCAGGGGGACACCCCATACTGTCGATGAACAAAATCGTGCACCAGTTGCTAGGTGTCCCAATACGCCTCTTGGTGGACGTTGTCCATCCACTACATGTGTCCAACAAAAATATCACCTTCACGAACAAAGGCAAGGGAATATATGGCTGTGGCTCAAAAAGATGCACCAAATGGCACCTTGGCAAATGGAACCAAAGACGAACACCTGCGTAACCCTGGCCCTTAAATCTTGAGCCACACCCATATAAGCCGGTTCCCCCGGCCAAAGAGAAACACAGCACCTGGCTTGCCGAGCGCCCAAGGTCCACGCGAAGAGCGAAGCCCGAAGCCGAGGCGCGCGATGATCTGCAGGGCCTTCTGCACCCCGCCGAAGCCGCGCTTCTCCCGGACTTCGTGGAGGCTCTCTTGGACGCCTCGCGGCAGGGGTGCTAACCCAAATGGCTATGAATTTGAATGGGGAGCCCCGTGAATGGGAACCCGAAAAGTGATTGGTGGACATGAATCCCCACCGAAATGATGTCCGCCAAAGGTCCCTAACTAAAATTCATACCCAAATGAGCAGCGGTGGAGTCGCTTCAAAGAGTCTTTTGGTTCCACTAGCTTTGAGAGGGCCCTACTATACCCTTCATGAAACCATGTTGTAGGACCACCTGCCAAAAGGCCTGCCTACCGTATTTGAGGAGTCTTGTTGGGCTTGTTGTCTCGCAGGAATTCATTCGGACGACTCTGCGACAGTCTGGCTTCGACATACGCACCGGTTCTCTCTTGCCAGACGCTGCTCACGGTTTCGAACATGTTCCATGCTTTTTCTGCCAGACACTGACCTTCGACCTAGGGTTCTATATCTGACACTCTCCACCTGCCGCCGGAGTAAGGGAATCACGAGACCACATTCCGGGTTTCCAGGCCCCGGTTTGGACTCAGGGGGGGGGGGGATGGTGACAACCGCTTCTCGTCATGAGCTGATGATCTGCCACCCTCCGCAGCTCTTCGATGCGCTTGTAAGTGCAAGGGCGGCATTGCCGACGCATGCAGTCAACCAGAGCAAGCCAAGTTGGCAGATATAGGTTGTTCTACGACTGAGAGGCGCACATGGAAATCGGTGGCCACACGTCTCTGACACCGGCAACAACAGCAAGTTGAAACTCATCGGCATCAAATACGGTAGGCGTGCGTACCCCAAACTGGCCGATGGGGGTTGGGCTGCTGAGATTCCCCCTGCCAGGCGTGGGCTTCCAACTGAAGGCAAATGGATCTATGGATGGAAGTTCAGGCCCCCCCACCCGTAAAAGCAGCTTTCAGGGGGTGGGGAGAACCCAAGATGGGGGCGAGGTCCAACTCAAAGGGCACTTATAATTTAGTTAAAATTTGGCGGATCAGGTCGAGCACGGAACCCCTTTCAAAGTGCCCATGTATTCTTGTGCTTCCTTTGGGAACCCTTTGCAGCAATCCCATGAAACTGGGGGTTGCTGACTTCGAAGGACCCGTGAAAAGGATGGTGAAGCCGGGAACAAACGAAAACAAGGCCAAGAACAGCAATCTAATCGGCTTGGCAAGCTCACGCTACCAGTGCATCCTTGAAGGATGGGATCAAACAACACGGGGATCCAAGAATCAATCCAGAACATCCCTCAGAACAGGCATGCCATTCATCGATCTGCGAGAAGACAACCGCCGCACGAATCTAAAACACGCTCCAACCTGCTTCCCGCTCCCTCCCAAGGAAAAATGTCTGAATTGTCCATTCCCGGACAGGCCTCAGACCTCAGAACTCAGAACTCGGGGGGATCACCAACTTCGAGAGCAGACTCTCCGGGAAAAAGCCAAAAAAAAGAAGGGGAAACAGAAGAAGAAAACAAAAACACGGAAAACTGAAAGGAAAAACAACGCGACACACACACACACACAAACAAAACAAAAAAACGAAACAAAAACAAACAAAAAACTGGCCTTCCAGGAGGGGCGCAAAAGTGGGATGTGCCGACAGGAAGGCCGCCACCTCCTTGTCCAGGCGAACCCGCTGCAAGCCTCGGAACTGGCGCCCGGAGAGCCTCGTGGGCTCCGTGGGGTTCCCAGTTCCGTGGGCAAAACCGGGGAAAAATTTCGAGGGAAACCCCTAGTAAAACCGCGTGACCTATGGAAACCAGAAGAACCAGAGGCAAATTTCGGGGGGAAACCCATGGCAAAACGGCGCTCGGGTTGGCAACACTCGGGTTGGCCAGGTTCGGTTCCTAGCTGGTCAGTTGGGGTTATTGTCCTCCCATCAATGTTGTGTCGCGTGACCTATGAAAACCAAAGGCCAACTCCAAAAAAACGCATGGGTAAAACCTGGCGATGGTGACTGGGTCGCTTTTCAATGACTTGAGTCCATGCCTGACATGCGCAACATGCTCAACGCAACAGCGGGCTTCACAGAGTCACGGCAAAGTGGCGCTCATCTTCCGCCGCCATTGCTCCGTACATGTGCTGTGCTTGGCTTTTCTTGTGAGTCCTTCGTTTAGGGCTGGTCATCATGTTTTGCGTTCGGACCTGCAGCGCCCATTTTTGGGTAGTCTCCCGACGGTCGTATACCACTTGGGGAGCCAGTTGTGCGTTTGCGTTATATAAGCCCTTCATGGTCTGCCAGCTGTGATCTTCGTCAGCTACAAGCCGAGCGTAGAATTCGAACGACGGCATCGGATGAGGATGGCAAGGGATCCAAGAACCAGCAACCACAAAAGCGTATCTCTGCACCCTCAGCAGAAGCGGACACGCTTTTCGACGCAAGACCCGACGTGCTCACTGCCTAGTGCCTTTGGCACTGGCAGAGCCACAAAAAATGCCTGTGGCCTGAGTGTGCGAAATCGGCTGCAGGAACAGTTGCAGGACATGAAACGTGGATGCCAAGGTGCACCAGGTGGTTTGTCCTGCAATTGATCCTGCTGCTGCTTTCTATGAGTCAAGCTTGGACCACGGAATTCCGCGAATGCGAGCTGTAAAATGACTCTGCCCTGCTATTTCTTGCTTTGATTTTGTTCCTGCCATAAGTTCTAACATCTCCGATTTGTCCCACCACCTACCCTCCCTCCCACTAACATAGCAACTGACACAGGGTACCCCCAAGAGGAGAACCATCTTCCAGGTGTCAGGGGAAAACCGAAAGGAAAACCCACCCTTTTGGGGACCCCCTAAAAACAATCACACAGGTGCGAATATAGGCTTTACTATCATCCGAATGGAACCTTTATAACCTACGAAAAATCCCTGCAAGGGACTGTGGTAGGGTGTTCCACCAATTCCATTGTTCTAGGCTTGCCAAGAGAGGCGCGGAAATTCGGCGTGTCGCAACATGTGAGTTCCCTAAACCTCGCCACAAGTTCCCCTCTGCTTCCCTCTGAAAACCTCCCACGACACGCTGAAACGGAGCCCTAAACATTCGGAGGTCGCTCAGATGAAGCCCGCGGGGCTGGGGGACCTTGGGCTGGAGGCATTGGTGCGGGGCGTCGTGCCCGGCGTGTGCAGCTTCGCCCCAGGTGCCCTGGGCGCCTCCGGCTCCGACTCCTTTGCGTGTGGCTCAGGGATCCGGATGCATTATACACCTGAACATTGCCCTGTAAATGGTGGTTTCCAACTTTATTTTTGTGGAAAAAGCAACATGCTTCAATTGGGCAAAATGTATCTTTTGAGGAGCCTGCTCAAACATGGGGATCCGAAATGGAGCCCTGGCAAATAGAAAGGTAGACTCAAACCTGCGCAACCCCGGCTGGGTTAATTTTGAGCCACAGGCATGGGCCATAGCCCTGCTGTCCGTGAATCTCAAACGCGCCTGCGCCGTCAAAAGCATTTGTTTTTATCACCACACAGAGAACAGCAACCCAAGAACCCCCGAGCACCTGGCGGTCGATCCTGCAACAATGCGCCCGCAGCGTCACCACCCCAAACAGCACCCCAAAGCAGCACCCCAAAGTCAGCAACCCAAACTGCAAGTGTGCCCAGTCGATAGAAGTTAAAACCCCTATAACTTTCAGCTATCTGGGGAAAAAGGATGGGCCCCCCAATTGGTTGCGTAAGCCAACCTGCAATCAAAGAAAAATTGCAGGTTATCATGTTGAAATCTCCTTGCAAACCAAAATGCGTACGTAATTGTGTTCCCTTGGTTTCCCTTTGGGCCAATCTGAAAACGGTGTTTCCCAGCCCCAACACCCTTTGTCTCCTCCTCCTCCTCCTCTCCACCGAAGAGCCCGAAGCCGTAGCCAAAGGACTCTGCAGGCCGCTCGCGCGCCACCGCCGCGGGGCCGCCGCCGCCAACCCGCGGGGCGCCCACGCCGGGCCCAGGGCCGCCTGGGCTCGGGCGAGCGACGGCGCGCCGCAGGCTGGCGTCGCTCGCCTCGATCTCCTTTTGGATGCTGCGGAAATTGCCGTCCTGAGCGGCAGACCGGCAAACGCGCCAAGGATGGGACCCAAAGGAAAAGGGGGGCCGCGCAGTTGCCGTGTGTTGTGGAACTCGTTCCGCTTTTGGTCCCAAGACTTGGTACTGAGCCCTGGTTCCAAAACTTGGTGCTAACCCATGTCCCCATTCCTTTGAAGGAAAAAACACAAGAAGGCTTCTTCAGGCAACCGTGGTTTCAACGCCAAGGCGTCAACCGGTGAATCGCCATCCCCTCCTCCCCCAGGATACTTTCCACCGCCTTCTGCTGGGCGCGCAGCGCCTGCTGCAGCTGCAGAATGGCCTGCTGCTGGGACTGGATGATGGTCTCGTTCCGCTTCTTGATCGCCGCGGCCGCCTCCAACTTGTCCTTCAGCGCGTCGATGTCGGAGTTCAGCTGCAGCCGTGCTTCCTGGGCCACTTTGGAGTAAAAAGCCACCGGAATCTGGCATGGAACAGGGCACCAAAAGGAGGTAAACATGTTTGCGAAGAAGTAGATGGCACAAATCCCGCGGCGAATTGTCTAAACCATCCCGTGGTTTCCCTTGCCTGAGGGGTCACCAATCTTCCCCAAAACTTGGCTTCTCCTCAGACACCAGCAGCTTCTTCTCCAGCGCGCCGATGCGCCGATCTTTCTCCTTGAGCTCCGGGATGTGGTGGCACGAGTGCGAGTAGTCCCTCGGCTGCTCGGCTCGATACTTCGCGCTGTTCACCGGGAAGCCGCCGGGGCCACGAGGCGCCCGCAGGCGGTCCTGGCCGAAATCCAGGGCTTCGCAGTGCGCGTCCCTGGCTCACTTAGCAAAGTCGCTTGAAACGCACTGAGAGTGGCAACAAACAAACAAACAGCGGCCGGCACCCAACGTCCAATCCTGGATGCTCCCTGCAAACATCCCAAAGTGCGGCAAAGGGCTCTGAGTCTGCGTGTGTGGGGGGGCACGTGTGCATGCCATGCCAAACTGTTCGATGTATCGGAGTTGCTCTTTGTCCATCTGCTCCACCTGGGAGTGATACTTTCTCTCTTTGAAGATCCTGTCCTTGAGACAGTGCCTGGTGCACTGCGTTTACATCCCTTCCAAGCACAAACGAACCCACCTTGCCCACAAGCCTGTTTTTGTTGGAACCCTCATCCCTAGGGTCACAAGTGAAGCTTCCCTGGTCAAGCACCATGGAGCAAGCTCACAACCAAAGTGCCATGTCTGAGGCCCTCCTGATATCTGAGCCTGTCCTCAAAACCAGCCTGGCTTCACATGTATCATAGTTGCTTCAATCCAAAAAGCAAAATCCTTTCAGCCTGGTCGGTTCCCCATCTTGAGGCACACAAGCAAGCAAGCAAGCAAGCAAGCAAGCAAGCAAGCAAGCAAGCAAGCAAGCAAGCAAGCAAGCAAGCAAGCAAGCAAGCAAGCAAGCAAGCAAGCAAGCAAGCAAGCAAGCAGGCAAGCAAGCAAGCAAGCAAGCAAGCAAGCAAGCAAGCAGGCGAGCAAGCAAGCAAGCAAGCAAGCACGCACGCACGCACGCAGGCACGCAGGCAGGCAGGCCAAAACAGAAACAAAAGTCAACAACAAGACAACCAACCAACCAACCGATCAACCAACCGACCGACCGACCGACCGAACGAACGAACGAACGAACCAGCAAACAAACAAACAAACAAACACACAAACACACACACACACACAAACAAACAAACAAACAAACAAACAAACAAACAAACAAACAAACAAACAAACAAACAAACAAACAAAACACACAAACAAACAAACAAACAAACAAACAAACAAACAAACAAACAAACAAACAAACAAACAAACAAACAAACAAACAAACAAACAAACAAACAAACAAAACACACAAACAAACAAACAAACAAACAAACAAACAAACAAACAAAACAAAACAAAACAAAACAAAACAACACAAAACAAAACAACACAAAACAAACAAACACACAAACACACACACACACACACACACACACAAACAAACAAACAAACAAACAAACAAACAAACAAACAAACAAACAAACAAACAAACAAACAAACAAACAAACAAACAAACAAAACACACAAACAAACAAACAAACAAACAAACAAACAAACAAAACAAAACAAAACAAAACAAAACAAAACAACACAAAACAAAACAAAACAAACAAACAAACAAGCAAGCAAACAAACAAACAAACAAACACCACAACACAACACAACACAACACAACACAACACAACACAACACAACACAACACAACACAACACAACACAACACAACACAACACAACATGACACAACGCAACGCAACACAACCCAACCCACACACACACACAAATAACACACACACACACACATGCGCGTGCGCACGTACGCCGTACGCACGCACGCACACCCGCCTACCCGCCGGCCAGCACGCATGCACTTACGCAAGCACACGCACGCAATCACACGCACACACTTGCACACGTGCACACAGCGCGCCAACGCGTGAGAACATGCATGAGGCAGGCCGCTTTGGTGCGTTGCCTCTGCCAACACGGGTTGGGTCTTGTGTCCAAGGGCACTTTGTCCCATGAACCCGAGCTCAGCAGAAAGACTGTGTGGCCGAAAGCCCTTGATCCAAAAAAAAGATGCCGTGTTGTGAAAACTGGCTATCTACCTGTTGTGCCGAATGGGATGCACTGCCCAAACGATTTCGGTACCTACGGTCAAAATGCTCAAGTGACATGAGAGTAACCGCCACTTCCTCCTGGTAGTTTTTGGAGAGTCCCCATTTCATTGCAAGGTGAATGGCTGCTCTTAACTGGTAGCTTCTCTTCAAATGCCGCTGGGCAGGCCAAAAGAATGGGTGATAGACACCCAGGATCTGTGCACTGGAGCATGTTTGACACGCCAGCGGCACACATCACTGACTCTAGACTTCCGGCATTCCAGGAAGCATCTTTTGCGGGTTCATCATCTCTGTGGGTCACTCCCAGATTCCGACTCAGGCAAAGACAACGAAAGAGACCCACAAGACAAGATGGTCACTGGAGCACCGGAAACCGCAGGCGCGCCTGGTACATGTGGGTTTGTCTCTTCTTGGCACCCTCTGGTTGCTTCTGACCCACCAGAAGCCACCACTGTGCATAGGTGTCCTTTTGGGGTAAATAGATGGGTTTCCCTGGTAGATGATCAAACCACCAGGTAAACCAGGGAATTGCCCTCAACTTTTCGGTAGCAAAACCGCCAAAAAGGACACCCATGCCCCCGTGTGGGGTGGCTCCAGCCATTTTTGGAGCAAAAACCCCAGCCACTCCACCGGCCTTCGCGACGCCTCTGCGGCCTTCATCTCAGCCGGAGCCGCTCCAGCTTGCGCTCCGAGTCCTGGCGGTTCCGCGGAGAGCCAGGCGCATCCCAGGCGACGCCATTTGAGCCGCTCGGTTTTTCAGCGCCCACTGGTTTCGTGGTTTGCCAATTGGCAAAAGGAAAACTCACCATGAGTTTATATATTGATTTATTCATGCCTTTTTTTTGGGAGGGGGGTCCCCTGAAAAAAGACCCACCCATTTAACGAAAAGAGTACTTGCAGACTAAGGGAACTATGGGTTGCACCCGCACAAAAGTGGACAGGGAGGTCCCCAAGCAAATCGTACACCTTCCGAACAAATCAACTTCCGTCGGAGGGCATCGAGTCTGCCTTTTCACCAAAGAAAACGGGAAAACCCGCCCCATTCGGTACTTGTGGACCAAATCCAGGCGCACCGGCTGGACCGTTTATTAACCACAGTGGGGGGTTCATCCATCACAGGGGCTCATCCATCCCAATGCAGGCCTTTGTCTACCCGCAGCATTACTTTAGAAAGAACCGCGAGGTGCACACCCAAAATTCTCTAGGGGATCGCCGAAAAATTCCAATTTTGACCTCACACGTGGCGGTGTTCCTCTTGGCGTCCCTTTTAATCAGTCCGCTTCAGCTCCAAACACAACACGAGTTTACGGCCTCACCCAACCCCCTCCAAATACCCACTCTGGGGGCGGGTGCATCATGTGAACTGGCGAAGCAAGGCGGCCCTTACGCAAAAAAACTCATGGTTTTTTCCCAAACATATGCCGACCAAAGGCGCGGGATTTTGTGGACTGCACATGTTTTTCGGACTTCGGCCGCGGGTCCGCGATGCTGGCCGCGGAGGTGGACATGCCCAGCGCCTGCGGGGAAAAGGCACTGATCTCCAATTTTCCGGGGACCATTTATACTGGAGACGAGGAAACAAAGAAGAGCTGAAGGGAACAAATCGCAAAGTCCTCCGAATTTGGAGAAAACAAAGTGGAGAACAGAGAATAGATGGAAAACGCCGGGAGAAACTAACTTTGACCTGGAACCGCTTCTCATGTGCTCCGCGAGCGAATCCCCCGACCCCACCTCGAGCTGCGCCAGCGTTTTGGCCAGGGACGGGCTCAACACCGAGCTCGGCCCGGCCCTGAGAGTCGAATGAGTGCCCAAAAAGGGCACCTCCAAAAAAGACGAAATCCAAATGGGAGTTGATCAATACTCCAAGGGCCCCAAATGGGTAACTGACCAGCCCAGCTGGGGCTTGATCAATATTCCATTCAGGGCCCAAAATGGCCATGGGTAACTCTTCCCATTTAGGGGTGGAAGTCATCCTTTTTCTGTTCTCCCCAATGGTCGTCCCACGTAACCTGATCAACCCCCAGATAGTCATCCTGCGTAGCCCGTTTTTCCACCAAAACTTGACCTCGGGGGGACAACTACAATGTCCCTCCAAAGCCAGAATAACACAACCCACTTTTCGGAAGAGTAGACGGCGCGATAGGAACCGCATGTGGACATGGACCCTGGATATCTTCCATGGATTTATGACCAGCCATTTCTGAAATTGGCATGAAGGATGGCCCGAAACGCCACTGAAGAGAGACCGCAGAAGGCCGGATTGAGGCCCACTTTGTATTTGGTTTCCTTTTAAAACCCTCCCAAAAAGGGTACCCCAAAAAAAGACACACCCGTTTACCCTCCAAAAGGACCGGGAAACCCGAGCTTCAAATCCTTCATATCCAGGTGTGTAGATGCCACTTCTGAGGACCAGACGGGACTCTTGGGCAGCTCGGAGCTTGCCTACGAGGCTTCTGCATCGAACGGGCGCACACCGAGAAACCACGCACAAAACCAAGACCCCTGCTCTTAACGTCCCACTCGAATCAGCTCACATTTGACCATGTGCCCCCAATTTCAGCATAGCTCTGCGGAAAGAAAAAAAAGCGGCGAAGCATGAATCAACTCGGCGTGTTCTCGGAGACAGAAGCTCCGCCTCATCTCCTCCTCGCCTCAGGGCCCGCGCGCGGCTCGCGGCTTCAACCGGCGCGGCTTCGATTTTTTCGAGGGCAGCGCCCAGACCGAAGCGGAGCCGGTCGGCCGCGGAGAGGCTGCTCCTGGCGAAGGCGACGCCAGAAGCAGCTGAGAGGTGCAGACGGGTTTCGCCAGAAGCCTGCAAATAGATGTTCACTTTGTGGTGTTCCGTATTTGATTCTTTGGACATTTTCACTCTTCGTGGCTTTCCGTATTTTCGGCTTTAGATTCCTTGATACTGAGAAACGTCGCTAGAGTGCTTTGGCGCACCGAACCGATTCCGAACCGACTTGCCGAACCGATTCCGCTCTGAGGCGGGCGCCAGGACGGTGAAGGCTCCTTGAGGCAAATGCTGCTACATGTCTCCTCTGAAAGGAAAGACCAAGCGAACCCAAAGCCTGTCAATCAAACCCTACAATCGGTTGTTCAACTCAAAAATCCGCGGGTGCATCCGTTTGTGGGGATACTTGCTTGGGGGTTGCTTCGAAGGGAAAGGGAAAACCACGCCGAAAACTGCTCGCGGGTCCACTCATGACACAAGGCCGTGCTGAAAACTCCAGAATTGTGGATCATGGCTCCCTCAGAAACCTTTGCAAAGGTTCTCGGAACTCCGTGTGGATAAACAAAAAAACTGCGCCAAATGGTAGGTGACGTCTCCCAGTGTCCAGGCGTCATGAATCACAACTGGTGCTGAACTTGGAGTTTTTTCCGCAAAATCGCCCGGGTGTCAAATGGCCATGGGTCAAAAGCCCGTACCCCCAGTGAACATCCGAATCCCCACTAAAATAGGTTCTAAAACGGGTGGTCACCTACCCCAAAATGGTACCATTGGTTTTGACTCACAGCCAAATTTGACCATGGCGCACGATCGGACGTTCCAAGGTGGAACTGGGTCTCCGGCTGGATCTTCGGGCGCAGCCTTGGGAGGGCGAGGCTGAGTTTAGCAGCACGTCCTTTCAAGATAGCCTTCTTCTTTCCATCACGGTTGGGTGAAAGTTGATGGCCCAACTCCCGCAATTTGGGGTTCAGTCGTCCCCCTCGAGTGAAGGGAATTCTGTGTGGAGTATTTAATGGTGTGTTGACCTTGTTCCCTTTGAAAAACCAAATCCAAAAGGCAAACCAAGCAAAAGGGAGGAAAACAACCTGGCTCGGCCAAGCATTCTTGTCCCCCCCATGGCTTAACCCCCCCACACCCTGGACACCTAGAGTCTATTTTGCAACCATGATACCCTAAAAAAACCCAATACCCTAAAAGAAGAAAGTGGCAAAACCAATTCCCCAAGTGTCCACCATCCGCCCCCCCCCCCCCCCAATTTCTCAGCCCACGACGCTGGCCTCCGGCCCCGCGCTGGCCTCCGGCGCCGCGCTGGCGCTGGGAGCCGCCTGGCGGCTTGGCGCCGCAGGCCGGCGGGCCGGATCCGCTCACCGAAGGCGCGCGGAACCCAAAAAAACGCCCCGGGAGGCCAAAACAAAACGTGGTGAGACGCGCCCCTTCTCGATGAGGCCCCCGAGTTTGGGGCGTTGAAATATCAGCTTCGGGGCTCCACGGATTGTTGCAAGGACAAAGAGGTGAGGAATGGGACAGTCGGACTTTGAGTCTTGCCGCACCGGAAGTCTCTCTGTACCTGGGAGCCGGTTCCAGCCGTTCGGCGGAAGCTCCGGGAAAACCAATTAAAAGGAAGCTGCATGCCTCACGTGAGCAGCGTTCGAAACCCACTGGCTTTTGGTACAAGGGTAGAATCCAAGATGCTTATGTCGCTGATTGTATAGCCCATGTTCAACCACTCATTAAAAAAGAGGAAAAATAGGGTTTTGGACGCTGCTCGAGATACTTGCGGTTGCAAATAGGACTCGGGCGCTTTGCCTGACGCTATACGCTGCCAAACGGCGGGTTGAGAAAAAGTTGGCTCACAAGTCAAAGTGGTGACTACAACAAAAATATGAGCAGTCTATTTCAATTCATGTTTTTGGCCTCAAGGTCTCGCTCAAGCACTCCTGGAGCCGAGCGAAGTAGTTGTCCTCAGGTCGCACACATCTCGCCCAGAAAACGTGGGGCACAGGGTTCCGACAACGGTTGCCCAACATGTCTTTCCAAAAGCAATAATGTCCGACCTCACAATCTCCAGCGAAAAGACCCCAAAACATGGACGATACTGCACGCCTATTCAAACACGCAGCGCATCGCGAGGAATGGCTGACCTTTGACCTTTGACCAAACTGGTAGCTCACACAGCCCACGCACCTCCATATGCTCGCCCACCGCCTGGGTGCCTGTACCCAGGACCTTCCTGGCGAAGCAGCTGCCGGGCTAGCAGCTTGAGGCACTCGGAGCTCTCTCTGCCGGCCTCAGTTCCGCCAGCTCCTTGTCGTTGAAGTTGGACCAAATGTCGCCTGAGGCAAGGAGAAACGCATAGACCACTCCTCGTCCCTCAGCCAGCGGCCCTGGAACGCCATCAGCAGCGATGATCCCTCCTGGCAGAAACGAAACCCTGGCGAAAAGCTCCAAAGCGACTGAAGCTCTGTCTCTGTCTCTGTTTCTTTCTGCTTCTCTGCGGCCGCTGCGCAACACTTCGGCTTCCGCTGCCTCCACGGCCTGCCCCGCATTGGCGCGATCCTTCTCCTGCCAGCCGCTTCTTCGCCCTTCCCCCCGGCCCGACTCGTTTCGCGCGCTGCGCGGAGAACCAAACGACACGTGGCCTGGGTGGTATCCCTAGGCCCAGAACCCACTGGAAGCGGAACCCTCCCTGAAAGCCGCTCCGAACCACTCCGGAGCTGATTTGGGCAGACAAAGAGACTGACTTTGGAGGCATGAACATGCCTCTCGCGGTTACGTCCTGGCAGGTTCCACACACCCTGTCAAGAAAAGGTGCTATTCCCTGTTGACCTCCCCAGCAAAAGCCAGGAGCTTCCCAACTGAGAAACTCCACCGGTGGGGAAACACCTTCCATTTTGGGACATGCACGCGCTGTCCTTTGTTGACATCCATTTCGGCGGCTTAGAAGGGAAAGCCAAAGTTGGACACGCCCACCTTTTTGCGTCCGGAGGGTCAAAATACCTTGTTCCTCCAAGTGGGAAAATTATTCGCTCGTCCCCCAGAAAGGTAAAAGAGCTCATCAAACGCCAAACCTCGTCGTCCCTCCACGAACCAAACACAACTAGTTGTGTCCTTTATTGAGGCCACCCCCCCCTTTCTGTGCGGTCTCACATAAGAATCCACCCAGAGTCCGAAATTTGCTTGTGAGACCCTCGAAACTCGGCGCGCCTTCTCCTCCTGCGCCAGCTCCTTGAGGTTCGCCGTTCGGCCACGCACCTCTCGCGCTCTCGTGGCTGCCCCTACCTTGGTCCTACCCTTTTTGGGCTGCTTTTGACCCAACACCCCTCGCGCTTTTTATCTAGGATCTGGAACCCTCAGTGAGTCACAGTCATCATCGACACCTGGTTTCCTCTTGGTTTCCCGTCAAAGGCCCCAAAATGGCTTCGGTGTTCAGCTTGGTCTCCCTTCAAACCATGCCCAAAAGGGGTACCCGCAAAAAACACACAGATCCAAATTGGCATGACCTCTGATTAGGGATGGGCATGTCCACCAAGCATGTTTGAGTCCCCAATTTCAATCCACTGCCCGGTCTCAACATTTTGAAAACAGAGTTTCTATTTGGATCTCCTTGGGGTTTCCCGTCGAACCATCCCAAGAAAATGGAGATGTCCTGTGTTTCCTGAAAAAAAAACATCCGAAGCAACCAGGCAGCCCCCCAAAAAATGAAAAACCCGCTCTGGGTCCCCCGCCGTGAGCTCGCTGTTTGCGGGGTTCAGCTCCACTCCGATGCCGGAGTGGTGGAAGCCTGTGAGTGCCCGCCCCACCCCCGCCCCCCCCCTTTTGGGGCGTCCCTTTAGTTTTCTCCTTGGCGTCCTTTTGATCTTTAGTGGACCCCCAAAAAAATGGCTTCCCTTTAAAACCACTCCAAAAGGGGAATCCGCAAGAAAGACACGCGGAAATTCTCTGAATGTGTGTGGTTGGTGTTTGCGCCAATATGCAGACCGAATCGGTTTCGCAACCCCAACAAGGGACCGAGCCTCGCAAAGCGCCCATGTCAGTCACAATCAATTAGAGTGAATGATGAACATCTGATGAACGAAGAATCACTTCTTCCTTGACCACCCTTGCACATCTAATAGTCTGGATCTTGGTGACGGAAGGTGAGGAAGAAAAGTGCTTGGGAATGCATGTCTTGATTAGTTAATATTATGTTCATATGAATTCCTAATCTTTTGTCATCTATGTTCGCTTCTCTTGCCAATCCACAAATAATTACTAATAGCAAAGGTGTCCGTTCTTATTCAATCGTGTCCATTCCTATTACTGCCGTTGGGTCTCTTCTTTTATTATTCCATCCTGGCTGTTGCCATTGTGACCCAACAGATTAACTCCTAGACACAGAGTGTGATGACGGCAGGAATGAGCGAGGGAGCTTGTCTCCTTCTTCATCCAAGCTTCATTCACAGCCTAAAGTCGTTCCGGATGAAGGGAGAAGCATGCCATGAAATCCATTCCAGATTCTTTATAAACCTGAGACTAGAAGAGCCTGCTAAAAAACATACAAAAAGTCAAACGGGCAGCACCTTTCCAAGGTTGCGTCCCATTCTCCCCTTCACTTCCCCGCCTTTTGATTGCGACTCGTGTGAGCCCCGTTTGCCAGGCTTCGGGAATGTAGAGAGTCCCCCTTCTTCCAAAGAAAAAAAGATAGGGAACCCTGTTTGGGACGGTAGATGGGGCTGAGCAAATTAGAACCAGCTCACTCAGGACTTGGGGATTCCTGTTCGACGACCGTGACTCCAACTTGGGGCAAGGAACTTGGAAAGGTCCATGAGGTGTGGCTGGTCAAGAGGGCCACCTTCGAAAACTTGCACAAAATCCCAGAAAACCACCAGGGCCACAGGTGGCCACTGGGTGACTTTGAAGTATGTTTTGAAAAAGCGATTGGTGGGTGGTTCCTTTGCTTCCCGTCACCAAAACAACAGACCACCGCTTGGGCCGCCCATCTCCAAAAAAAAACAACCAAACCCCGGTGTAAAAAAAAAAAAAAAACGAAGCCTCCCCCCCCCCCGGCTGGCGTCCTTCAAAAAGCGGCGGGCCGGTCCTTCGGTTTCCGCGTTGAAAGCATCGTGGCCAAGGCGCCCCAGAAGGAGGTGGGCGGCACCGTGGGCACCACGTCGAAGGTGCTGAAGATCCGCCAGGACCGCGGCACCTGGGAAAGTTTCGGAGGGAAAAACCAGCGACAAACCTACTGTGGATGGAAAAGCGGAATCCGTTCGCACCACTTGGAAACCATGGGAAACCAGTGTTTGTTGGTATTTACAGGGGAATAATCATCCACAGTAGGTCAACTAGGAGCAGGTAGGTTTTTTTAGTTGGGGTTATCCATCGAAACTAAACCAAAGAATCCAGAAGGGAAACTAAAAGGGTTCCAAAAGAGTTCCAACGAAATATCCAAAAGGGTTCCAACCAAATGGGTGGACAGTGGCTAGGTCCTCCAGAAGAGCGGTTAGAATAAGTTGCTACCCGATTTTTTCCTGTAGTCTATTTTAGTAGAACCCTCCCCCAAAAGGGCACCACTGGGGGACCTAGCCACCAACTACCACCAACTAATCTAGGGGTTGATTCCTTAAACCGGATCCGTTTTCCCTCGGTTTCCGGGAAGGATCCCTGGAAAGAATGGGGAAGGTACCCCAAGAACTAACAGCAAATGGGTGGAAACATGGGGAACCCGTTTGGATATGTTTGGGCTTCTATGGACCAACGGAACCAAAAAAAACCTCACCCCCCCACCCACCCCAAAAAAGAAAGCACCCTCAAACAAATAGGCACACACACACACACAGATTGTTGGTGGTCAAACTTTTGGGGGAGTTTCTTGAAATGGAACCCCTTTTGGGTATTTAGTCTCAACCCAATCATTTTTGTGAGAAGTTTGGGGAGGTCGGGAAATTTGCGGGCTGGTGTTTTGTTGGAATGTGTGTGTGTGTGTGCGTGCTTTTCAGAGTTTCGGAGCAGCTCCCTGAGATTCCCTTGCCCCAAAAGTTGCTGCTGAATTACCAGCTGGGCTCTGACCCAGGTTTGGTAGGCCACTCGGCAAGATTACGGACCTGGGCTTGCAGTTGGATGCAATCCGCTGAATGCCGGGTGCGATTTTTTTGAGGGCGTCCTCTTCGGGGGTTGTTCCAACAAGGAAGCCACAGCTTCCATTTGGCTAAGGCCCCAGCGAAAAAAAAAACATGTCCAGGAGTGATGAATTCCTTTTCAAGCTTTAAAAAAAAACAAAAAAGCAAATGGAGGACAGACCACCCCGCAATCCGCTCGAGTATCCCCTCGGCCGCGGGGCGAACTC